CTAAGATGCAGATTATATTACTGCAGAAGTAATCAGATTACGTTTGGCTATATGGATAAGGTGTTTGGTAAAGTTGAAATTTATAGGATTAATCCTCTAGTAGATGAAACAATGGGGAGGTAAATTAGGGAAGAAATATATATAATTAATGGAAGGCACACCTCAATCTTATATTCGAAACATTTATTTTCTTCTCATAAATTCCTTTTTTGTTTGGAAATTTTTTAATCAATTATATTAAGTAATTGGGAAACTATATACTATTATTCCAAAATGCAAAATTGTGCATGTATATTAACTTAATCAAATTCTTACCTAAAGATGTAAGTTGGTTTCTATTGTTTTTATTTATTGATTTTCTTACCAAGTGTTTCTTTGATTTGTCTTCTGTTTTGTTTGTTTTGCTTTGTGATACGGTGACCAAGTTTTGGTAAAGATTTGGTGGACAATTAAGGTCTAAGGATATGTTCTAGTGTGTTTTTAGCAAATTATTGAGCCTAATTCTTACCGTATTATTAATCTTTATACGTTGTTTCATATAAGGGTATGAAGTTGTGGTGTTAGATAGAACACGTCTAGAAAGGTATTATTTAAGATATTCAAATATACTGAAGAGAGAGGTCCAAAAATGCTCTCGACTGACGGCCAGACTTCCCCTCCTCCGGTGATGGGTTTGGAGCTCACCGGGCGTCCCCCGAATGATCCGAAGACCAGCCAACAGGGGAATGAGGAAACTGTTCCCGCGGCGGGATCGCAAACTCTGAATTTCAAGGCGGCGCTGGCAGGAATCAATCAGGAAACTTCAAGGAAGTCTTCCCAATGGACGTTCGTCGGCACCAATGATATCGGGACAGGCACTTTCCAGGGGGAACCGGAGCTGAAGCTTTTGGCGAATTTGAAAGAAAGGTTATGTCAGCCATGGAAGAGAACACTAATAGTTCGCCTTCTTGGGAGATCGATCAATTACACCTTCCTTTGCTCTCAGCTGCATCGGTTGTGGAGTCCGACCGATTCCCTGGAGATAATGGATATGAACAACGACACATTTCTGACAACTTTTGGAAGCGACCAAGACTACTTAAGAGCTTTAACAGGAGGTCCGTGGGTAATTCTGGATCACTATCTTGTAGTCCGTCAGTGGTCCCCGACTTTCCGCTAATCGGACAAGCCACATCGATCAGTGGTTGCCTGGGTTCAGTTCCCTAAGCTCCCAGTCCATTTCTATCACAGGGAGGTTCTTTTCGCCATTGGAAATCTCGTCGGCAGGATGGTCAAGCTCGATTATCACACTGAAAATCTAGAGAGGGGCAAATTCGCGCGTATTGCCATCGAGCTAGACATGTCCAAACCGCTCCCGACACGAATTAGGCTCGACGGCGCCTGGCAGGGAGTCCTCTACGAAAACTTAGCAACCATTTGTTATGCTTGTGGTAGGATTGGGCATTTGGAGGAAGGATGCCCATCACGGAATCCAACCCCTTTGAAGGCTCTCCCAATGGCGACAGATCGAGATTCCGATGCTCAACCGACGGGGGAGTCGCCGGAGATTCCCTCCGGCTACGGGCCATGGATGCAAGTAGTCCGGAAGGCAAGGAAACAGATTAGGAAACAAGAATCGATCCAGGCGCAGAATCAGGGAATGAATAAAGGAAGAAAACAGGAAGCTGGGCGCGATTCTGGCGCTAACAAAGGAAAGGGAGCTAGTGGATCAGTAAAGGAAACTCTGGAAACTAAAGGAAGGCAAGAGCAAAGGCTAGGCGCTAAACATGGTAAGCAGGGGAGTAATAAAGGGAAAGGCATTGATGAAGGGGCTGATGCTAACGGTAACAAGAACGTGAACGGCAACAAAGAGTGGAGGCCTGTTGGGCCAAAGGAGCGGGGGGAAACCTCGTCCAACAATGAGAAAGGATCCAATAAACCTGACCCAACAACTATTGCGAGGAGTGTCAATAGACCGCCCGACACTCTGACTTCCCAGTACGAAGTCTGACAAAGCATACCGGCCAGGCCAAAGGTGACCCAGGACGCCCGACAAGCCCATAAATGCACATACCTCAGTTGTGACTAATATAAATACCCATCAAGGGGTCACATTTATGGTAACCCCAACTATTCCATTCTCTCTCTTATTTACTATTCCTCAATCCTCTCTCTAACTTAGGCATCGGAGGAGGTCCGAGGATCCCCCTCAGGACCTTTCTTGCAGGGATTTGTAGACCGCCTTCGACCATCGAAGCTGCTCGAGGCTGTCGGGACTCACAAAACCGCTTGGTACGATCCAAGCACAAACATTAACAAATTGAGCTCAAATTAGATCAAACTCGGCTTAATTTGGATTATTTGCGACCCTAACTTAAAAGTGACCCTCAAATCGTTGCTGTGCATTACTGATCAAAGTGAAGAAACAAAGGAAATAAGCAGCAAGTAGCAGGCAGGCGGCGGACCCATGGATGACGATAAGAGTAAGACTTAGTGCACATAAATGGAATCGGGAGACATGGAAATCATCTGAAGTAAGCTGGAATTGGAGAATGTCTCCTCCAGCGCCGGCCCTCTCCTGCTCCCGCCGTCGCCGCTCTCCTTAGCGATGTGAACCAGCTCTTTCGCAACTTCCGCCATCCCGATCTTCCCTTCCCGGCCGAACAGCCAGCACCTCGTCGCCAGATCCGCCACCGCCTCGATCTGCTCCCGCCGGAACGCCGTTTGCTCGTGGTAGTACAGATTCGGATCCACAATCTCCTCCACCTTCCCGCTCCTCTGCATCGCCGCCGCAGGCAGCTCCCTGCTCTTCGTCCCGGCCACCATCTCCAGCAGCAGCAAACCGAACTCGTAGACGTCGCTCCGGTGCACAATCCCCCCGCCGCCGATCTCCGATCCGATGTGGAGCCTGAAGCCGGCGACCCGGACCGAGTGGCAATCGTCGAGGAACAGGCACGCGGATCTGAGATTATGGTGGAAAATCGGGGGAGAAACTTCCTGCTGCAGGAAGGCGAGCACGCTCGCCGTCTCCGCGGCGATGCTCAGCCTCTGGTACCAGTCGAGACCGCCGGCTTCGCGGCGGCGCAAGTGTTCCTCCACGGTGCCGTTCCCGGGGAACTCGTAGACGACCAGCGGGGTGTAGCCGCAGTCGATGCAGCAGCCGATGATTCGAGCCATGTTTCGGTGGAAGACGGCGGAGAGCACTTCGATTCGCGAGAGGACCTGGCTCAGATCTCGCTGGTCCCGGCATTCCACCTTGTGAACCGCCACCGGCGAGCCGTCGGCGAGCAGCCCGGCGTAGATTTCACCGCTCGAAGTTGCGTCGGTCAGCTTCTGGCCGTCGTCGAAGCATTTGGTAGCTTCCTCCAGCTCCCTGTAGGTGAAGGAACGGGTCGTCCAGGGCTTTCTGAAGGACAAGGTGTTCTGCAATTTGTCCTTGTTGTTTGGCTCGTACGTCCCGCCGTTGTTAGGACGCTTTAGCAGGCAGAGCAGCGCAGTTAACGTCGCAACGACGAATATTGGTCCCAGAACTCCTGAACACAAAAGAAAAATCCGATCGGAAAGTTGCAGGATTATCAGATCGGAGAGTTTTACAATCTAATTGAGCAATTCGTACCGGCTAAAATGGAGACCATCTTCCCGCTCCGCCGTCTGGTCAAGCAGTCGCCGCCGCGAGCTTCTCGGCCATCCTTAACACAAGCTGTAGATATGACTCAGTGAAGAAGACAAGATAAAAACTTGGAAGAGTGGAAAAGTGAAGAAAGTGTTAACTGTTCGAACAGACTCACTTCTCAAGCAACCTGAGCCGCCGGCGTATCCATCGCCGACGAACCCGTCTCGGCACTCGCACCTTAGCCCGCCTTGGACAGTGGTGGCATTGACCGTATCCGCATCGGACGCACACAACCTGCTCGACGAATTGCCAGGGAGAGCCCATTCCAATTTGACCCCGCGCTTCCCAACGCCAGCCCCTCTAGGGACGACCCAGCAGGTGAATCCCCTGCATCCAAACTTGGAGAAGACACTGAAACCATCTCCCAAATCCCAGGAACTGCGATCGGAGAGAGGGTAGCAGCAAGCAGGGGAGCCGTTGCTGTCCCCGTCGCAGCCGGGGTAATCGATCGTCTCGCAACCAGGCTTGCACAGCGAGGAATCGTCGCAATCGTATAGCCCGACGACGTTCTCTTCCGATATCCCGAAGTAGCGGTTCCCGGCGAAGGGGAAGGCGTTGAGGTTGTAGTACTGGCGGCAAGTGGATGCAGGGAAATCTACAAGGACACCGTCCGGGAAAAACTGGAGGACTCTGTATCTGTCGATGTTGATGGTGAGGAAAAGCGTGGTGGATTTGGAGCAGGTGAGAGGGAATGCTGCTGTTGTTGAAGGAGAAGCAGCGCAGGAGGAGTTGGAGAGGAAGAAGGGGAAAGGAATCGAGAGTTCCCCGCATGTCTCGTTGCAGTGTGAAGGTGGAGGAGGAGACTGAGAATGGCAAGTTGAGAGGTGAAGAGTGTTACAGAGGATGAACAAGATCAGCAATGGTGGGAACATGTTTGTTTCCAGAAATCGGTAGCAAGCAATCAAATCAAACAGGGATTCATCGGAAGTTGATTAGCACCCAGTGAAATATATGAACTAGCTGCTGAGCAACAGCGAGGAAGAAACTGAGAAAGAGAAAGAGATCGAGGCATGGGAGTTGGAGAAAGAAGAGAAGATTGGTCCCAGGAATGGGTTACAGTTTGGTACCAAAGGGCATGGAATGGCGAGCTGATGAGCTGCTTACTCTATTAATTAAAAGGCAACACAACTTTTGAAGTTCTTCGATACCAGGAGCTTCCCTTTTATTCGTTTTTATTAGTATCTAGTATGGATTAATTATCACTAGATAATTGATATGCGCTATGTAGTAACGTGTAACGGATGTACGACGATTCGATTTAAAATACTTCCTAATCTTTTTTTATTATGAATCTCTAGAATTATTGGTCCTTCAGAGGTCTCTCATCTAAATGACAATCCTTGATTGAGATAACAAACTGTTGATATGACTTGAATCGGATTATCAGCCAGAAGGATTCGAGGTTCCTGGAAAAGAAGACTATGTTTGTAAGCTGAAGAAGTCCTTGTATGAACTTAAGCAGTCTCCGAGGCAGTGGTACAAGAGATTTGACAGTTACATGCTTGAGCTGGGCTATAGCAGAAGTCCATATGATTGTTGTGTGTATCACAACAAGGTGGAAGATGGTTCGATGATCTATCTTGTTCTGTATGTGGATGATATGCTCATAGCTGCGAGGTCGAAGTCTGATATCCAGAAGTTAAAGGGGCTTCTCAGTGCTGAGTTTGAGATGAAGGATTTGGGAGCTGCTCAGAAGATCTTGGGTATGGAGATTTACAGGGACAGGTCGAAGAAGAAGCTTTTCTTGTCACAGAAGAGCTACATCCAGAAGATACTGTCGAGGTTTGGCATGTCTTCAGCAAAGCCCTTAAATACTCCTAGTGCTTCAAATGTTCATCTATCCTCAGCTTATGCACCACAGTCGGAGGCTGAGAAGGAGTACATGTCGAGAGTCCCATATGCTAGTGCAGTAGGTAGCTTGATGTACGCTATGGTATGCACTAGACCTGATCTTGCACATGCTGTTAGTGTTGTCAGCAGGTTTATGATACAACCTGGGAAGGAGCATTGGCAGGCTGTGAAGAGGATCTTCCGGTACCTTAAGGGTACACCTGATGTGGGGATTAGCTTCGGAAGTGATACAGAGTGCTTGGTGTCTGGGTATTCTGACTCGGACTATGCTGGAGATGTTGACACGAGGAGATCGATGACCGGTTATGTATTCACTCTTGGGAGTTCTGTAGTGAGCTGGAAGGCAACTTTGCAGTCGGCGGTGACATTGTCTACTACTGAGGCAGAGTATAATGCGTTGACAGAAGCTGCTAAGGAGGGAATATGGTTGAAAGGACTGGTTGGTGATCTTGGTCTACATCATGATCAGGCAGTGGTGTATTGCGACAGTTTGAGTGCAATATGCTTGGCCAAGGATCAAGTCCACCATGAGAGGACTAAGCACATCGATGTGAGGTATCATTTCTTGAGGACAGAGAAGAGGATTAAGGTGAAGAAGGTTGGCACCGCGGATAATCCTGCTGATATGTTCACGAAGCCGGTTCCACATGGCAAGTTCCAACACTGCTTGGACTTGCTGAATGTCTTGAGTGGGTGACTCCGCCCTGCGGGGCATTGATGGCGGGAGAGAGAGATAGAAGGAGCAGAGTACATCAGAGATTTCAGAGGAAGAGGATTCAAGTCAAGGTGGAGATTTGTTGATATGACTTGAATCGGATTATCAGCCGCTACGACTGGTAATCGGGGGTCTCGCTGACCGTTTCCTTTGCTAGATTGGATTAGGTTTAGACCCACATGGAGAAGTACTATAAATACTTCTCATACTCCTCTGTAATCTGTAATCTCCTTGATATAGTGAAACTGGCTCTCTCTCGCCCGTGGACGTAGCTAACACACATCATGTTAGTGAACCACGTAAATCGTATGTCGTGTTTTCGATTCTCGCTTTCGTATTCTCGCTTTGTTGATTCCTGCGATTTCCCGATCCGTAGCAGCGCGTTTATAACACAAACTAAACCCCCAAATGTCAGATTCTAAGTTCCAATCTTTCTTTCACGTAGAGTCACAAATCTCGTAATTAATACATCGAAATCCATTATATTCCTTGCGGAGCCAACCATTCCCCATCTGAAAATATAATGAGCAAGTCAGTAAGTGTTACGTGTCCAAGCTTATAGTAGTGGCGACCAGTAACTACAATAAACTGTTGATTGCTAGTTGCCTGTAACAAGTGGTCCGTAAACTAGAAAAATAACACAACTTACATTCAAGCCTTCCTTGTATTTGGCCACGAAAACAACCATTTAACAAGAGAACCAGAACCCATTGTGGCAAAAAGCAAAGTGACTGTTGATCCATGGGGTATATCTGTAAAGGACAGAATTTAATATACATCAAACCAACTTACAGGTCTCCTCACTAGTCATATTAAAGAGAGCCATGCACATTCTGCCAAAAAAGAAGCAGACTCACCATATGGAGATGAGGTCCAATGCAATCAACACCGCCAAGCAGCCGAGATGTGGCCTTGGTAACTGAAGAACAAAGCGCAGGCAGAATAAACAACTCACTCACTGTTGAAAAAAAGGTCATTGCAGAAAGTAGGGTTGGCAGTTCGGTTTCCGGTTAGCGGATAAGCGTCGGTTACAACCGAACCGACCGGTTTTCGGCTAACCGAAAACCGAGACTAAAATTACTTCGGTCGGTGGACGGAGAAGAATAAACAGGCTTCGGATAACCGAGCAACCGACCATTATTAACCGCGGTTATCTGAAAAAACCGAACCAAACCGACAAACCCTCATATATTGCCCTCCGCCCCTCCCTACAAAAAAATGACATACAAAAGAAAAACCCATAACCCCAAACTGAAACCCTAAATCCCCTCATCAAACCCTCACCCTCACCCTCACGACCGCCGCCCAGCTCTCTTCCTTGTTGCCTCACGGCCGCCGCCTTCCTCCGTTCCTCGCCGGCCGCCGCCATGCAGATCCTTCCTCGCGCAGCCACCTCGCGCAGCCGCCTCGCCCAGATCTCGTCCTCATCGCGTTGCCTCGCACAGCCGCCTCCATCCTTCCTCTTTCCCGTCCATCCGTCGTCGTCGCCGCCGTCCCCGAGCGGATGAACCGCGTCCATCGGTCGCCCCCGAGCAGAAGGAAAAGAAAAGTGAGAGAGGAGAGAAGAAGGGTCTTGGTTGGAGATGGAGAGTTAGGCTTAGGTGGTTAGCAGAGGCAAAGGAGAGAGAGGGGAGAAGAAAAGACTTCGGTTAGCAGAGGGTCTTGGGTGAGGAGAGAAGAAGAAGAAGAAGATAAGGTGGGTCTGAAAAGGTGTGGTGGAGGTGGACCGACTTTTCTTCTATTTCTTTTTTTATTAATTTTTTTGTATTTAATTCAGCTAACCGCGGTTATAACCGATAACCGGCCGGTCAGTTAGGCGGTGACCATATGAAACTCGTTGGTCGGTGATGCTAGGGGGTCGCTCGGTTTAACCGAAAACCGAAGTTTTTGGTTAAACCGAAACCGATCGACTGAGAGTCCTAACAGAAAGCATAATAGTTCAATGTAGCAGTTGGATTACTTGAAAAGATGCTTCTTCGGGAGAGTGACTGTTGTAATAACCCTCGACTCTAAACCAGTGTGATATGTGAACTGCCCATGTATGCACACAAACAATTCAATCCATAGCCACACAGTAAACTGGGAAGTTGAAAGGCTAAATGAGAAGAAAACTTAAAGCGCAATAATGTGAAGTGAAGTTATACATGGATGTAACATTAACAACTTCCGACAACTTAGACATGCATGTGACCGACTCGGAATCGGCAGCAGTTCCTGCTCCTCAGCAGTTCCTCAGCATTTCAATGAGAAGACCGCGAAGAGGCAGTTGGCGAGAGAAAGGGGATGGGATTAGGTGCTAATCCTTATATGGGTTAGCACCATGATAACTAGCAAAAATCACTATGGATTATTATAAAATCAATACAACATCTAAGTTAAATTACTACTAATTCAAACTAGTAGTAGTTTTTTCCTTGGTTAGGACGGTGCTAACTATTGTACAATTAGCACCGTAGCCGTTCCCGAGAGAAAGATATGTGATATCTCTACTCTCCTCTCAAGGAAAGTAACAGTGTGACAAGCGAGATCTGAGTCAGCTCTGTTGGTCCCGATGGCGCCTGCCAACGCTTCTCCGATTTTGAGTCAATCGCGCCTGCAGTCTCTACAATTCCTTGACCTGCGTATATTTCTGGGTTTGTACTTTGCACGAAGGAACAATTTGGTGAAGATCTTGACCCGAAAACGTGCCGTGATAAGAAAAAAAATGGGCCAAGAATTTTAAGCCCACAACTTTGTAATACTTGTTTTTCTTTGAGCCCACACTAAGACAAATTTCAGCCCAGCGACTGGACAACTTGATTTCCCGTTCGGCAGACTTTCCCTTCCCTTTTCAATCCTCGACGACTCTTCTTCCCCAACCAATCCAATTCTGTTCCGTCTTCCATGTTTCCCGATAGCTTGTCTATAAGCGTCAAACTTGTCAGAAATCGGTCCGACTGGAATTAGCTGGAAGTGAGAGTGAAATCCACGCCGCAACCGCGCCGCCGCCTCATCCCGTCCGCCACTATTACTCACCACTGCCTCTACTCATCAGTCGCCAACTCTCCGCCTCATGGACTTGACCCGCACTATGGCCGTCTGATCTTCTCTCTTACCGCCGTCGCCGTTCTTATAACGGAAAAGAATCAGCAGCCAGTGTCTCCGGTCAAGTAAGTGTGGTCACTTCTGGCTGTAGCTCGGTCGCGGCGGAAGCGATCTTTGTCTGGTTTGGTTATTGTCTCCGTAATTCAGTAGAGGCGGAAGCTGCCAATGAGACAGCGTCAGCGTTGAAGTTGAGAGCGAAGCCGCAGATTGGTCGCGATCGTCGACGCCTTCCCTCAGGGACGTTATCTCCGTTTCGCGCTGCTGTGTAAGACTTGTTAAGGAACGCAGCTTCCAGCTTTGCTCTGGCCACATCTGTTCCAAGTTCCAAGCACTGCCGATCACTTCAGTAATTCCCGCTTGCCCTTTAGGTACGATTTTTTTGTCCAATTTTCCGCATGAACAGTTGTTGGGGATGTTTTGGGGCGTGTATACTTTTGTTAATAGCGGACAGGTACTCTACTCTTTGAAATTGGGGAAAGATACAAGAGCTAGACTAAGGTTTTGTGTGAAGTCCAGGATTCTTGTTGATTAGCTGGTTATAACTTGGAAATGATTGCATGTTGAACAACAGGGTTGTGGCGGAATTCTATGTTGGACCTGAATATTAGAATGACGATGCTGGGTGAATCGTACTTCTGACTGGAATGCAAATGCAATGGGGATGTACCCTTTATCAGTGCTTGTGTACCTCTTATGGTGCATGTTTCTATGGCTATTCCAAACACGACTTTGCGTTCTCAGTTCAATGGAGTGTGGTGGTGGAGGGTATTGGTTAGGAAACTGTCTGCAAGACTCGGAATCAAGTTTGAGCAACAGCTCCTCCACGAGTTTTACTTCCAGCAAGGCTGAAATAGCTGAATTTTCTTCCTCAATGAAGGATTCTGTATCCTGTGAAGATCTGGGAGGAGTTGGATCTTTTAATACCACCTGCTTGCTACACTCTAATGTGACTTTAGAATCTGACCTCTATGTTTATGGCACAGGCAACCTTGGGGTACTTGCTCATGTTTCGGTTCTGTGCCCTAGTGAAGGTTGTGTGATTGCTTTCAATATGACTGGCACAGTTAACATTGGGCAATATGCAGTGATTAGTGCTGGATCAGTTTTCCTTTCTGCTGCTAACTTGACCATGGAAGATAATTCTTTCATAAACACAACAGCATTAGGGGGTTTGCCACCTTCTCAAACTAGTGGTACGCCAGTAGGGTTTGATGGAGCTGGTGGAGGACATGGTGGTAGAGGTGCTTCCTGTTTGAAAAAGAAAGACACAAGTAATTGGGGTGGTGATGTTTATGGATGGTCATCATTGGATAGACCGTCGAGCTATGGAAGTAAGGGTGGGGGTACCTCCTCCAAGAAAAAGTTTGGTGGGAATGGCGGAGGACGTGTCATGCTACAAGTGGAAGAGATATTTTACTTGAACGGATCCGTTGTTGCAGAGGGTGGGGATGGAGGCGTGGATGGCGGAGGTGGATCTGGTGGGAGTATCTTTGTGCTTGCTGTAAAGCTGTGAGTAAACAATACTATTCTTTGTAATGTGTACAAGGTTTGCAGTGGGGTATATTGATTCTTGCATAATTCGGCACAAACTTTAGCATGACCTTAATACTGTTTTCATCATGATAGAGATGGTTGAGGCCTAGCATTTGATCAACACCAAATTCTGTTTAACCTTGGTTTTAATGGGCTGCACTCATGTCGACCTTCCTAAAACATATAGAACCAGTTCTCACTGCTTGTTTTTGTGGTACAGTGAGACTTCTTCTTTTCTCCTCCACTGCACTTCAACTTTTGCGGTCTTCAAGGCCCCACAATTTTTCAATCAGCTAGGAAGTACTTCCAAGCACAAAACACTTTTAAGCATTATCACAAAGTGCACTTCACAGTGGATCTTGCACTCCTATTCTAGATACAAGGGTTTGGGACTACTAGGCTATTACTTTCTTCATTCATCTTCTGCCCTTCTGCGCTTCCTTTTGGTCTGAGTTAGCTAAGTACCTAGTGGCCATTGTTGAATAGGTTGTTGCTGTACTGATATCTTTTAGAAGACTCAAAATGCACCGTGGACCATTCTCTTAAGACCTATGATATTCTTTTTATGCACTCTAACCTGTAAGCTTTTATGAATATTATTAAATTTGGATTATCAAAGTTGCCACTGAAGGTGGCAGTTCATTTGGGAATGAGGTAAAAAGAATGATAGATAGAAAACCAGAAGAATAGTGAAAGTCTGTACTCTCCAGCTTGGTATATGCTCAAGAATCCATTCTTGTTTTTTAGTATATGTATCTATTTATTTGAACTTGGAAGATCTTTTTCTGCGCAAGTTCTCTCTCTTGTTAAACCCACTCTTTCGTTGTCTTAGCCTCTGAACTCGCTGGTTAAGTATTTGCTTTGGTGCTAATTTTGTATGATATATGTCTACTGTAAACTTTGGAGTTTCTCGGACAAGTGAGCCCATAAAACCATCATATGTATCTTAGTGTGTTCTCTAATATAACCATGTTTCAGGTATTCTTGTTGCATTCTGATCCTGACACAAAATGAAGTACTATTTGTCTCTTGTTTGATGCCTTGAAAAATATTAAATGTCAGTTGCATTGAAAAGAATCCTAAAGTCTAAATGACTGAAGTTGTTCCCTCTCTCCCCTAGAAAACATTGTGTTGATTGCTGTTTTTTATTAGTCATCGTATCTTGCTCAGATTACGACCTTATTCAGATAGCTTTTCATGATTGAGTTGTATAGGAAGGGATATGGATTTATAAGTGCAGCAGGTGGGATGGGGCGTGGTGGAGGTGGTGGTGGAAGAGTTTCTTTGGATTGTTACAGCATACAAGAAAACGTGAAGGTTACTGTACATGGTATCTTTCAAAAACATTTGTATCTTCTTATCTGGGACTAGTGTTTAGCCAATTGTTATATTGGGTCCTTGTGGATACTTCTTTCAGTTATGTAAATATGAACGGCGTTGAGGCAAACTCATATGGACACTCCATTTACAGCGGTTGAACAATTTTGCATCAGGGTACCATATAAATTATATTGGTTTGGTACATCTCAGTTTTCTTCATGAAAGAGCATGTCAGTGGACCTCTTCACAAATAATCATATTTGGTGTGAATCTGAAAATGAAATGTGCTGTCTTTTCTGATTTGGTGTGGTAGCAGTGTCCCCTTATCTTCAGGTTAAAACTCTCCCCCAGTTATACAGAGCTTAAGAAGCTATGAAATGCGGAGAGTATGGTACACTGTGTCTTCAGCATTGCTGATTTAGGGTTCTTTTTTCAACCTTGATTGGTCTGCTGTCCTTTTTATCTTCTCGGTGTTGTTACATTTCTGGAGTTCCCAATAATGATGTGTTAACTTAGTGGAGGTTTTATTTGAAGCTAACTTGCATGCTGTTCTATTTGCAGGTGGTTCCAGTATAGGATGTCCTGAGAATGCTGGAGCAGCTGGTACATATTTTAATGCCGATTTGCTGAGTTTGAGGGTTGGAAATGACAATATGACTACAGAAACGGAGACCCCTTTGCTAGTTTTTCCTACCGCTCCTCTATGGTCAAATGTTGTTGTGGAGAACAATGCAAAAGTTTTAGTGCCCCTGCTATGGAGTAGAGTTCAGGTTGCCAATTTCTTTGCATTAGAGATGGGATTCACTGAATCATAAGCATTTTCATTTCTCTATCTACGAAATGCTCTTTGCTTATTTGTATTTTGTTACAGCATCTGAACATGTTACTTTGAAGCATTTGTTTGTCGGCAAAGCCTGGAAAAACTTAGTTGCATTTCCAGGAAAAATCAATTCCTTTTATCAAGGGTTGTCGAGTAGGAGTTGAACTTGTTGGTACACAATCCACTCTTTTATTAATGATACCCTAATGGCCTAATGACTTTGGTAGCTGTTAGTAGTGCAACTGATGCTTGCTGCACAGAACAAATGTTACATTTGGTTAGGCACATCTTGCATTGAGATCAACTGAAAGCTAAAATCTTGCAACGCTTAACTTCAGGACATGATATTTTGGTAGCAGTGATCATGTAGTTCTTGCTTATTGCTATTTTGATATTGGGGTTCCTTCTTAAAGCTCTTGGATTGCCGAATTTCTGCTTCTGTTGTGAAGCCTATGCCATGTTTTCTTATCCAGCTTCATTTGGACATAGGTTGATTAAAGATAACATTGTCTACGAAAGATGATGCCTGGATTAGGAGGAGTGTTCCATCTGTTTGTTTTAGTACATAGTTTAGTTCTGGAACATCAAGATTGACTGGGAGTTAGATATGGATCTGCCATTGATTCCTAAAGAAGTCATCTGCATGCTGCCCAACTGTGTAGCTGCATGCATCCCCTTACAAGATAGTTTATCATTATCATAACGTTCTTCTTGATACTCTTGCTTCAAGAACAGATAATCGGTATTCTTTTTATGCAAACGTATGTCTGTTTCTTTTCTCCAAGTCAATGCTAGGAAACAGTACATTGTGTGACTTATTAGTATCATGACATTCTGATTGATATTTCTTTCTGCAAAAGCTGTTAGAGATTATTTTTATCTACAAATATATGTTCTTTTCTGTGGTTCAAGTCATTGCCAGCAACCTATATTTGGTGTTGTTTTTGACTATATGTAATTTCAAGGTTAGAGGCCAAATAAGTTCGTACTGTGGAGGGAGCATTGTGTTTGGATTGGCTAAATATCCCGTGTCTGAATTCGAGCTCGTGGCCGAAGAGCTTTTAATGAGTAATTCTGTTATAAAGGTACGTCTTCGAGAATTTTGATAACAATTTCCTTTATATCTGAGGAATTTCTCTTAAATTTTGTAAACTAGTTATGGATTGAGTTGGGATTTGTTGAATCACATTTGTTATAAGGTGATTCATATAGTAAAGTTGCACAGAATTAATTTTGAGATCCTCTTGTATGAAAGATGCTCAACTCCTCTAATATTTGTTAAGACTTATATGCTCAAATTATTTTTCTTATTTGTGCATATGTAAAGATACTTATGTCTCACTTCTTTTCCCCTCAGGTTTTGAACATTTCCTATTGGCATCTTGTTTTATGCTACTGTAAACTTTAAATTTTTCCTCAACGCTAAGTAGTTTTATGCTTTGATTTGTGTTGAATTTTCCCAAATCAAGGTTTTTGGTGCATTTAGAGTTGCTGTGAAAGTGTTGCTTATGTGGAACTCCTCCATTGAAATTGACGGGCGTGGAAACACTGTTGTTACTGCTTCCATCCTCGAAGTCAGAAATCTGATTGTTCTCAGGGTATGATGAACTGCATTGCCTGCGCTAATTGATGTTACTTCTCCCATAATATACACAATATTACATTTTCTTCTTTTTTCTTGATAAATCTAGGCCAGAGGATCTTCAATTTTCATTTTTTCTCCTCTGTATTTTTACTTTGCAGGCAAGTTCCGTCATTAGTTCCAATGCAAACTTGGGGGTCTATGGTCAAGGACTATTGAGGCTGACAGGCCAGGGTGATGCAATCAAAGGCCAACGACTTTCATTGTCTCTATTCTACAACATAACTGTAAGCTCTTTATGTGGCAGAACTGAGTTCTGTTCTAGACTTCTGGTGCAATTTTTTAGGCAATGACACTATAGGATCTTTATATATGCAAACAAAAGATTGCACCTAAGGATGGTGTATTCATTGGCTAGAAGATGGAAGAGAGTGTATAAATTGGTGTCCCTGACAGGTTGATCTATGTGTGAGATGAAGAACGTGAATTCTTCGAATGTGGCATTGGATGACCCTGGGTGCTGAAACCGTAGAACTGCACCTGAAAGTATGCGGCATATGAGCCATGAGGCATGATTAGGATAACGTGACAAGTCTTCTGGTTATTTTGATAAGTTGTGCTTGGGTTTCGCAGCAACTTTGTCTAATCTAGAGTATGCTGTTTCCGTATTTCCTTCACAACTCAGTCGTAAGGAAGGAGTTCATATTCTCCTTCAGTATTTGCAATACCACATACAAATTTACAGTGCTTTAGGCAACAAGAACATAAAACCCTTTTCTGTGCACAGGTTGGTCCAGGTTCCCTACTTCAAGCTCCATGGGGTGATGATGCCAGCAGAAGTTTGTGAGTATGAACTTGTTCATTTTAGTCTGTGTTGAATTCAGTATTAAGTGCATAAATACTTTCTTTCTCTATTGACACTTTCTGGCTGTTCTAGGGTTACCAAGTCAATGTGTGAGAGAGAGATATGCCCTGCAGATATCATTGTTCCTCCAGATGACTGCCATGTCAATTATACATTGTCCTTTTCACTTCAAGTAAGCATGAGATTTTAGATGAATGAATATGCTGATTGTTTTCTATAAGCAGATCAAATGTTCAATCCTGTTCATACTGGTAGCCGTGCACATGGTTTGAAACTTAAACAATCTGTTCTCAGGCTAATATCAAGTCTAAATGATATGGAGGTATCTTATGGATAATTTCTCAATATTTGGTACCTCTTAGCATTGAGGCCTGGACACTAGTGTACACAGTTTGGTGTACCCTTGGTTTTTTCTCGAGTTGTGGCTTAGTTATTGTGGTATCAGTGACATTATGTCTTGTCTATGACCACTGGCCCAGAGAAATTTGTAATGGGTGGCAACATAGTGAAGTGTTAATATAAGAGAGTAATAGTAGGGGGGAAAAAGAGAGAATATGATCCAACTTTTGAAACTGCAGTTGTGAGGACTCATGAAGTTTGTTCTGTCATGGTGCAACACCAATAGAAAGATCTGTTAACCTTTGATCAATTTAAGAAATACGTTGTTTGTTTCTACTGCTGCTATTTTCCTTATACATTGCATATCATTTCCTAATGAACATCTTTGGCAATCATTGTTGAAAGATCTGTCGTGTTGAAGACCTCCTTGTGAATGGTATTGTAAAAGGTAGTATTATCCACATCCATCGGGCAAGAACTATCATTATTGATACTGAAGGCTCTATCACTGCATCTGAATTAGGTAGCGTCTTGCTCTATATATTTCCTGTGGTGCCCTCTTTTGTTTCTTTCTGTTGGTTTGAAGTCGTCACCTTCTAATTACATCTTTCAAGAGGATATCAATGGTGTCGCATCATGCTTTCCAGGGTGCAGTACGGGTATTGGAAAAGGGGAGTACATTAACAGAGCTGGCAGTGGTGCTGGGCATGGTGGGCAAGGAGGTTCTGGATATTACAATGGAATATTGATCGATGGTGGCAATGCATATGGTAATGCTGATCTTCCTTGTGAGCTAGGGAGTGGAACTGAAGGTCCTAACCAGTCTTATAGGAATATCATTGGAGGAGGAATGATTGGTAATATATCAATTTAGTTTCTTTATATTTCTAAGTGTAGTTATAATCGGCATTTTTGCAAATAAATGCTATTACGCTCCAGCTAGTTATAGTAATTTAGTGATTTTGATACTCTCATTGGTATGTTACATCGTCTTCTTTTTTTTGTTTTTTGTTTTGTAGTCATGGGCTCTACTCATTGGCCGTTGTTAAGGCTCGATCTGTATGGGTCTTTAAGTGCTGATGGCCAGAGTCCTCATGACGTGTTAATAGAGAAGAATGATTCTTTTATTGGTGGACTTGGCGGTGGCTCTGGCGGCACCATCCTTCTTTTCCTTCAGATGCTAATGCTTTCAGAGACTTCCAATTTGTCTGCTGTTGGTGGCAATGGTGGCTCTCTTGGTGGTGGAGGAGGTGGAGGCGGGAGAGTTCATTTTCATTGGGCTAACTTTGAATCTGGGGAAGAATATGTTCCAGTAGCAAGCATCAATGGTACCATTAATAGTAGGTATGTGTGCCAGCAGAAAAGGTTAATAAGGAGAACCTTAGTGGGCCACCCATTTTGCATTGATGAAACTATCTTGCAACTTCTCGACTCAAATCTGTGTCTTCATGCCCTAAGCTTTTTCTAGTATGATTTATATATCCTCTGCACCTGATTTGCGCTATAATAATTTTTCTGGGGACTTGATCTTAAGTCATGATTATTTCCACAAAAGCATATAAAAAATGGTTATGCTTGTTGACTTCCTCATTTTTGTTCCAATTTGCAGTGATAAAGCTTATATGAAAATTTTTCTCAGTAGCTCAAATTATGATGCTGCAACTGATACGTCATACCCATAAAGATGCATATTTGGAATTCTTTGACCTTTTTCCTCTTTGGTCCACCCAAATTCTGTATGATGCGTGATATTAGGAATTGCCTTAAACTTGAATTATAGAACATTTATTTTTACGTAGAAGGTTTGGCAGTTTGAGCATCCTTTCAACTGATTTGTTTGGCTGGATAATGTGTGGCAGTGGTGGTGCTGGGGATGATGGTGGCCTTTTTGGTGAAGGTGGCACAGTCACAGGCAGAAGTTGCCCCAAAGGTCTCTATGGTACATTTTGTGAGGTAATATTTAAGTATGTATTATGCAAGTGCAACTGTCCTAATCCCGTCCATGTCTGCCCACTTAATGATTTGTTTTAAAGGTTGAGCATTGCAGTGTCTTCACTTTACATTTTGCTTTATGTTTTTTGAATTGCTAGTTGAACTCTGAGTTCTTTCTGTGCTTTATCGCTTATTGATTTCTTCATACTCATCTTTTCCAAGCATTAAACCAGTTTTTGCTTCTACACTTAATCATGGAAGTTGTGTGTATAGGAATGTCCTGTTGGCACCTTCAAAGTTGAGGAGGGCTCAGAGGAAAGTCTTTGTATTCCTTGCTCTCTCAGGGTTCCTCCTGGACGTGCATATTTTGTATATGTGAGAGGTATTACTGAAACTAGATGTTCTTCTTCTTCTTCTTCTTCTTCTTTTTCTTCTTCTTCTTCTTCTTCTTCTTCTTCTCTCTCTCTCTCTCTCTCTCTCTCTAGTCTCACCCTATCTGTATGAACTCATTGCAGGAGGAGTTACTAATACCTCATGCCCATACAAATGCATATCTGACAAATATAGGATGCCAAATTGTTATACCCCGCTTGAAGAGCTTATGTATGCATTTGGAGGCCCTTTGCTGTTTGTCTTTGTTCTGTCTTGCCTGGTGGTGCTTATAGCTCTATTTTTTAATACCTTAAGAATTAAATATGTTCGGTCAAGTTCGTATGGTCCAAAGTCAGTTGCCCATCAAAGTCATCATCACTTGCCGCATCTACTATCTCTCTCTGAGGTAAATTGTTGATAGAAAAAATATATCTTGATTTACCTTTACCGTGGCTAGCACACATACAGTTTTTGATAATGGCTAGCACGCATTAACATTACATGCTAAAAAGCTATGATCTTGTATTCAATTAGGTGCGGGGAACTAGAGCTGAAGAAACTCAGAGTCACGTTTATAGAATGTACTTTATGGGTCCCAATACTTTCAGGGAACCTTGGCATCTTCCCTACTCTCCTCCCGATGCTATAATTAGTATAGTGTAAGTTGGGTTTAATTATAAAATGTATTTTGGTTCCTTAGTTCAATATCTTCATTGGCTGAAAATTCTGTTTGATGTTTGCGTTTAATTATTACAGTAGTAATACGGACACAATCCTCATTCAAACCTTCAGAATCAGAAGCTTATAGGTCTTGCTTGTTGTAAAATATTTTGGGTGTGTTTGTTTTAGATTATTTTAAATGCTAATCTTTTCTAAATATATTGGGTCTTTCTACCCAAAAAAAAAATATATTGGGCCTTCCCAAAATTTTGAGTTGATGGAATGTGATTTATTTTATGATAATTTCAAAGTAACCGATGAGATGGCAGTAGTTTGTTTATTAATGAAACAATTAGTAGATTTGGGGAAACTACTGTTATGAATATAACTCAAGAATATATTCTTATTTCAAAGAGACAAAGTTGAACGTGAATTTTTTTTCTGGGAGGTGGCTTTAAGATTTTATTAATTTGTGGGTTCACCATATGTAGCTGTTTTAAGAAGTTAGATCATAGAAGTGTGTTTGCTTTAACTTTTAAGTTCAATTTTCTGAAGCTAAAACAAAACCGCCCTTGTCTTTCTTCCATGTTCTATTTTTTATAGTATTTTCCTATCTGTTCAAATATCATGAAGTAAATACTTTGAAGCATAGTCTCTGTTTGAATGTTTCTTTTATTGAAAGTTCATGACTAGCCCTTCTGATCTGCAGGTACGAGGATGCTTTCAATAGATTTATTGATGAGATAAACTCTGTTGCTGCATATGATTGGTGGGAAGGGTCGGTACACAGCATACTTTCTGTGCTTGCCTATCCTTGTGCCTGGTCATGGAAACAATGGCGGCGTAAAGTAAAAGTTCATCGGCTTCAGGAATATGTCAAGTCTGAATATGATCACTCATGTCTCCGTTCTTGCCGATCACGAGCCTTGTACAAAGGAATGAAGGTTTGAGCTCTGCTACTATTGTTGTTCTTACTGTTGCTAATAGAGGATTCCATTTAATTCAAGATCACGCTTACTGAGATTGCTAGTTCAAACCTGTAACCTAACCTAAATATAGAATGTATATTTGTTGCTGTACAAATGTTTGATCTAAATATAGCAACATGTTCATGCATAGGGTCTGCACACTTAGGGGAAGAAAAGTTTCATATCAATGGAATTCGGATTACATATTTAATGCATCAGTTGCTTGCACTTCGTTTATATGTAATATCATTGTCTTACACAAACTTGTGTAGGTTGGAGCAACTCCAGACTTGATGGTTGCCTACATTGATTTTTTCCTCGGCGGGGACGAGAAACGTTTCGACATTGTATCTACTATTAAAAAGAGGTTCCCCATGTGTATATTGTTTGGTGGGCATGGAAGCTATATGTCACCCTATAATCTTTGCAGCGACACGTTGATAACCAATCTTCTTGGTCAGGTATGGTTGATCTATCATCTTACTATCATCCATGTTCTGCAGTCATACTTTAACATGATTAAACAATATATTCTCAGCACATCCCTGCAAGTGTCTGGCATCGTTTGGTGGCTGGCTTAAATGCTCAGTTGAGGACTGTGAGGAATGGATCTATCCGCACCACGCTAATTCCTGTTATTGATTGGATAAGGAGCCATGCAAATCCACAAATTGAATTCCACGGAGCCAAAGTAGAGCTTGGATGGTTTCAAGCTACAGCCTCTCATTACTATCAGCTGGGGATATTGGTAGTTACCGGTGAATATGCGTTCCAGAGTACATGGGAGGCAGACAAGTCTGATAGAATGGACGTTAAAAAACCAAGGTAAAACCGTAACACTGATTAAATGATGAAGGAAAAGTTTAGTGTTCACTGGATTTTTTATGGGATTTGGTTGAGTCTGCTAATGGCATTTGGTGTTGGGGAGTTGGTTGTGAAAGTATATTCATCTTGCCTAGTCCTAAGAAGGCATTGGCGCTATTGCTTGGACCTATCAACCAATATGAGTCGTCAAACTCATATTTTCTCCAAGACTAAGAGTAGAGCTGGTCTTTTGTTTGACTCAAATCATGGATCTGTAGTGATAATGTGGAATACCTGTGGGTTTGATCTTGGATTGAACAATAATATCTTTGGGTATGGATCAACTACACCCCAGCCAAGCATTGGTATTATCAGAACCCTTCCATCTAGAGTGGCATTCTTCATTTACTCTTAGTTTGGATGCTTGGAATTCATACCATGGCATCGGATGAGTTTCAATCTTTTCCATACTTGTATTTTGCTGAGTTTCTTCTGTTGCCCGAACTTGAGTTCACATCTTTATTTGAAATTGGCGAATATAAGCTAAGGAGCTGCTAGGAAGGTTAGGTCCAACGCCTAATTGCTTTTCTGCCAGGTAGCTTTCTGGTAAGAGCTTGAGTTTGAAACACAATTGATCATCGTAGTGATGCCTACATGTTCATTTGGTGAGAGGTAAAGATATATCACTTGAAAAGTGGGTGGATAGCAGTTGAGGTATCTCATGATAGAAGGCATTGGAGATAGTTTTTCTGTGACATACTGAACAGATTCAAGGTGGCCCAATTATACTTTGACTTCCGCTCTTGATGATTTCTCCGACATTGCATTCAAACTGCAGTCGGAGTGGAAAAACCAATCATGATACCTTTTGAATTGCATGTTTGATTTCGAACTATTAGTTATATGTTCTTTAGGTGGGTATATGATGCCATAAACTTATTTGAACCTCTATGTTCTAGGGAGAGTGCCTCATGTTCAAGCAGGCATCTTCAGCAGCCACTGAATGAGTTGCCAAGCATAAATCAAGCTTCATCTCGTAAGAAGCTGACTGGAGGAATTAATGGAGGTGTTATTAATGAGGTTACATTGAAATCTTTGGATTATAGAAGGGACTTCCTCTTCCCGCTCTCTCTCTTATTGCATAATACAAGACCTGTTGGTCGTCAGGTACAACGATGATGCATCTACAAATTCTTGATGTGTATTTTGTTTTTCTTTTGTTTTTAATTGTGTTTACACTAATACTAACTTTTGATATTTTGTTATATTTCAGGACACTGTTCAGCTTTTCATTATGATCCTGCTTCTGGCCGATCTTTGTGTCACTCTTCTAACATTGCTTCAGTTCTATTGGATTTCTTTGGGAGCCTTCCTTGCCGTGCTGCTGATACTTCCTCTGTCCTTGCTTTCTCCATTCCCAGCCGGTGTGAATGCCTTATTCAGCAGAGAGCCTAGAAGAGCTTCACTTGCTCGCATATATGCACTGTGGAATGCTACATCTTTATCTAATCTTGTGTGTTTCATTTACTTACTGGAACTACTCTCGAATTAGCTATGAATACGTTGTTTCTGTTGATCTGTCAGTGAAATATAGATCAGCTGATAAATCTTGCATAGATCTTATGCATCTGAGTTGCTTCCTGCAGGTTGTAGCTTTTATCTGTGGCATCATCCATTATGATCTTTATTTCTGGAAGTCGGTTGACGAGGGAAACACATGGAACATTGGGAGGTGAGCTCATCTTTCTGCTCACGAGTATGAGTGTCATAGGAGATACCAAGTCCATTTGAAGTTATATAAAAGTTTCCCGAAAGCTGCTTCGAGCACCAATTGCTAATTAAAGTATTGCTGGCAGTTGTGTTCCTATTGGTCCTTTCCCATTGTACAATTATCGGTGATCTAGTCCATGATAGAAATTCCGGGCTATAGTTTTGGCCGATTCAGTTTTCCTTTGTTCTCAAACTGTTATTTCTCTTGTTTGAGTTTAATTGCTTCTAATATTTCAATCAGGGAGGACGATGGATGGTGGCTTTTGCCAACGGTCCTTGCGCTAATGAAGTCGATTCAAGCTCGTATTGTGGATCTCCACATTGCTAATCTTGAGATTGAGGATTTCTCTCTCTTCTGTCCAGATCCTGACGCTTTCTGGGCATATGAATCTGGTCCTTGATTTTGCTTCAGCAAAAACATCCGATTGAAATTCTGTATATATCAACTTCATGCTCCGCTTCTCGATTCCATTGGCCGCGCTGTGTAAATTCCTATTGAGTGTCTAGTTTTGAAGCCTCAGTCACAGGTCAGTTGTGCAGTTTTGTTCTTTGATTTTTTTGTTGGTGCATGATGGTGGGACAAGAACTAGAAGAAAGACTGGGGAGCAGGATGGTGTAAATCGTCGTTTGTGTACAAAATTAGTAAGGGTAATGCTATTAGCTTGGCAAATGTTTTTCACTCTAGCTTTCTCTATCGAGTAATGTGGGGCATGAGGATTTGGTAAGCTGATTAACAGGCTCCAAAGCAAGGTATGAAAATTGTAGGTGCCAGAGTGCAGTGGTCGAAAGCATTGTTAACCTGGTTCAAATCCGATTTGCGTTCCTACATATATGGTTGAAGCATGTCCATTGTGCTTAGCAGTAGCACAATGCACAAACCAGACAAGCCTAAGCAAAAGAGTGCAACGACTAGAACATGAAGGTGTTTAGCAGCCAAAGAGAGTCCTATAAAGAAGGTGTGAGCATGCTTCCGATAATGGAATAGAACACCCAGAATCCATAAAAAAAAGTTGGATGAGTATGAGCCATATGATGATTAGGGTTGCAAATGAGTCGAGCTGAGTTGTACCCTAGATTGAGCTCCGCTCGGTTAGTTGGATGAGTATGAGCCATACGATGATTAGGGCTGCAAATGAGTTGAGTCGAGTTGTACCCTAGCTCGAGCTCGGCTTGTTTATTAACGAGCCGAGTCGAGTCAAGTTCGAGCTAACTTGCTTAATAAAATCTTGATTCGTATTTGATATATTCATTTTGTATATCATACAGTGGCGGAGGCCGGATTTGAAACTACCTCTGTCCGCTTTTCGTATTATAAATATATAAATATTTAATGAATATAATTAAATTAATAATATCTGAATAATTTATTTTCATATATGAAAAATAACTACTATTACAATCGGTATTTTCATAAACAACCATGACGAGTTTTCATATTCGGAAGAAACACACAATACATTCTTTGTCTACACGCTTAAGTAAGTCATTTTCAATGGATCTCACTAAACAACCATTAGCAAACTGGTCGTGAGTTCGACTTCAAAGTTCGTTCTTCAGATAGCTCAAAGCTAAAAATATTTTATCGACACTTGCTGTCAAAACTAGTGGAATCGGCGCTGCCACTGGACTGCTTCAAGATTGCTTGCAAATAATCGAATAGGCATATAAAATAAAGAGCTATTCCAATTGAGATTTCGTTTATTGTATAATAATTAATTCGTTGTCAATTTATGATAAATAATGAGTTGTGATATATTAACGAAGTACCATGGTGTTGTGTTCCATCCTTCGTATAAACATATATATGAAGTATTTTTGTTCCTCCCAAAATTTACCCCTGTCCCGGGACAATGCCCAATAGGACTGCCTCCGCCACTGATATCATACATTATACATGATTACTGTCAAGATAAAAAAAATAGTTGAGTGTTCAATATTAACTAATCTCATGTTATACTTTGTGGTATCAAATTATTTAACAAATAAATTTTAACTAGTGAAAATTATGTTATTTCACAGTATCGAAGCAATCTATAATACATAATTTCTATTTAAATTAAAATAAGACATATTTGCTCACATAATCTACGTGTTAAACTTCATATAGGGTGAGATCAATGCAGTCAAAATCACGTTTTAAAACTTAAAAACTTAAAAATCCTATAAATTATCAAAATAAACTCATATAGATCGATTTACTCATAACTTGGTAATCGAGTTGGCTCACTAGCCATAATGTTGAGAGTTGAGACATCTCATGAGCTCTAAACGAGCTAGCTCACTAGTCGAGCTCAACAAGCCACCAAGTCGAGCTAGCTCGCGACCTCTGCGAGCTGCAGAAGGCTAAGTTCAAGCTCGGCTCATTAGTAAACGAGTTGAGTTTCGAACGAGCTTTTTCCGAGTCGAACGACAAGCTGCTCGCGAGGGGCTCGGATCATTTGCGGCTCAGCGCATTTGCGCCCTAACGATGATCAGTAGAGAGCTTACTGAAAAAGATTATTTAAGTTTACCCCGCAACCATAAATCCATAATGTCTAGAGAACGAAGAACGATGCTTCGTCCATGTCTGAAATGCTTAAGTAAGAGGGCTAGAGGAGTTGCACTGCCGTAGAAACTGGCATCTAAGCTTGCAGGCAAAGATTCAGGCATCTCGGATGACAAACTTTCCACAAAAGGATATGTTAGTTAGGGCATTGTTCCAACTATGCAAGTTTCACCCGCAATCCACCTTCACACTTGCGTAGAGAATAATTAACTGACCATTTTGTTAAACTATAAAGTTGAAGGATCACTTTGGATAATTGCGCCTTTTACTTAAGATTGAAGAGTGTTGCCGCGCTTATGGGAAAGAGTTCAGTTCAGTGGGTTTTGCGATGATCAGAGCAATCTTAAAGCTTGCCGCCATTCTGATACAGGTGCCTGTTAGAGGAATCTATAACGAGCTTACTTCCGGCATAGGTTATAACGTTGAAGTAACTCAGAATTAGAAACGGCTAGCTTGTTTCCGTTCATCGAAAGACGCCGGTGTGATGTTAAGTCCGTCATTCCCATGTTAACTGGCTCGGGAGTTCGGTAGAGGTTAGTATTTCCATACGTGGGATAAATTCGAAAATCTATTAATTTCTACGAGGTGAACTGGTTGCCTCAGTCGAAATATCGGTGAATCCCATGTTGTTGAACTCACGGTTCCGATTGATTTCCCTACTCGTTTGCTCGAAGGAAGTTCCTGCTTTGAATTTTAACTCACCAAGTGTTTGATAGAATGCCTGTGAGGGCAAGAAGTGCTGCGTAGATGCATTCGCAGTCTGCCAACCGTACCTTCTTCTTTCTGATAATGGTTGCATTATGCTGGTGGAAATAAATGGTCAGGGTGCTTGCTGTTTTGTTGTGAATGCAAGTATTTGATCGAAAAGCCATGGTCTTTGTGTATTCCACTTATATGTGAACTTTGTTGATTTTGCGTGCTATGTCTGTGATGACTCTGATTGACCATTATACCATTTTGCAGTTCACCATCTTCGGTTGAGATTGTGGTACACTTGCTTTGCTAATGGGTCGTTTGTGGAGCACTCTCCTATTGATTCTTCATTGACTTCCGTATCTTCATCAAAAGCTATTCGGCGAAATTAGAGCAAAACTGCATGATACCCATGATGATAAATTCTATTCGCAGACGGCCACTTGCAGCATATATCACTTTAAGATCGAAAACCACCGCCGCACAGTATGTAGAATCGAGAGCCAGGGACGCTGTGTTTGAGAAATTCATGGACAAGTACAAAAACCTCCTGAAAGTCATTGCCATCCAAGACCTTATTCTTTCAAACCCCACTAGAACCCCACCTTCAGTCTCCCTTGATTTCCTCAACAGACTCTCCCAGAAGCTACACCTTAATAGAGGCGCAGCCTCTTTCCTCCGTAGATACCCTCATATTTTCTACATTTACTATGAAACAACGGTCTCCCAACCTTTTGTCAGACTAACTGATGCTGCTACACAGATTTGTCGCGAAGAAGCAGAGGCAATTACAGCAACATTGCCAGCTGTTGTTGACCGGTTGGTTCGGCTTTTATGCATGTCAAAGTCCAAATCCTTGCCACTCCGTGCCATCTTCAAGGTTTGGAAGGACCTCGGGCTTCCGGATGATTTTGAGGATTCGGTAATATCTCACAACCCACATATTTTCTCTCTTCATGATGCCCATGAACCTCACACACACATCTTGAAGTTGGTGGATGAATTTCCCTTGTGTCATCTTCGGCCTGCAGTTGATGACTGGAGGGTTACAGCCACTGAGTGTAGTAAAGAGAAATGTGAAGCAAATGATACCGCTGAAATGCAGTATTGCTTCAAGCATCAATACCCACCTGGAATGCGCCTGAGCAAGAATTTCAGGGCTAAGGTGAAGGAATGGCAGAGTCTGCCTTATATCGGTCCTTACGAAGAGCTGAGGGAGATGAAGCCATCTAAGGTGGGGATGAGAAGACTTGAGAAAAGAGCAGTTGCTATTGCGCACGAGTTCTTGAGTTTGACAGTTGAGAAGACGATAGAAGTTGAGAAGATCAGCCATTTCAGGAAGTGGTTTGAGATTGAGCTGAACATGCGAGACTTGTTCTTGGATCATCCAGGGATTTTTTACTTGTCTACAAAGGGCAAGAGACATACAGTATTCCTTAGGGAAGCTTATGAGAGGGGTCGATTGATTAACCCTAATCCTGTGTACATTGTAAGACGAAAGCTTTTAGACCTTTTTGTTATGGGACGTCATCAATTTCCTTGCAATAATTGAGGCCATGGGAGGTTTGGTAAGCTGGAAGAAAAAACTATGGTCCAAAGCGTCCTTCCCTTATTAAGGTCTAGGATTTCAGACCTATTCCTATTAGATCTTGAAAGGAAACTGGAAACTTGGTGGATTCAGGCAACCTAAAAGAGCAAATGGCTGAAACGTCCAGGCAACCAGTCCAGGAGTCTGGGTATGCGGCGTGGTGTCATCATCAGTTATCCTCCTCAGGCTCCTGTGTGATCTCTTTTCTTGTTGCTTCTACGTTACCAATTTTTGAAACCTGGAACATGAGTTTGAGATTGTTTTCTATCTTCCAAGCTAGGGAGAGGTACTGCCCCAGTTCGTTTGGATTGCTTGATTCCATCTCCAGGTTTTCTGCAAAGAAACATCTGATTTTGGATTAGAACTTTAACACTGGGTTTCTAGGATGATGCAAGGCTTCTTGGTGGAAGAGCAGAAGAGTGTGAAGCAAGTGTTGGAAGATTCAGAAGGCAAAGGAAAAGAGCAGATGGCTCAAGGAGTTAGACAACTAGTAGATAAAAGACTGTTAGGAAGTAGTCGTTGCCCTTTGAGCTGTGGAAAGACGATACAGTTTGTGTAATAATATTGTTGCATGTTTTCTTTTCATGGAAATGGAAATATTTGGTTGGTTGACAGCTCTTCTTAGTTCGATAGTTGTACGTAGAAATCGTATCATTAGTCAATATGATCGAATGTACAGCTCAAAATCGTTCCACAATAAAAAATGAACAAAGTTTTCACAGTCAAATAAATTGAAGTTGAACACCATCACTGAAATCAGTAATTCAGCCCTTGAAATCTCCAGGCCATTTGGATCTTCTTGATAAAATTGCACAAAAAACAATTTGTCAAGAGTGGGATTTGAACCCACGCCCTTTCGGACCAGTACCTGAAACTGGCGCCTTAGACCAACTCGGCCATCTTGACTCTGTTAAATAAATTGTTTTCTTATTTTATTTATATAGTGTAATATTTTGGCCACTACAAACAAGAGTGAAGTCTTTTGCTCGTTGTTAGGATATGCTGAAGCCAATTTCCAAACCCAAAAAACAATTACTATCAACTTGTATATCTTTTTTTTTTGTACTATCAACTTGTATATCTATTAACAAACTATAACTGATTTTGTAATGTAAGTATTTTAATAATACTTATACTTTTTACATACATCAAATAATATATAACTCCTTGTAAAAAAAATATACAACTAACTAAGTGACATAAAAAAAAAGAGACCAATCATATCCTCTTCCCTTAAAATCCCAATTCTCGATTGGACACTTCCTTAGACCTCCATTCCTCCCACCTTCTCGACCTTAGCTTTCGTCATTCACATTGTCCTATCCAAAGAAGTCGAAATTTCGATTTAAATCCTACAATTTTACTTAGTGGTGTTCAAACGGTGTGGTTACTGTGGTAACCGTTTTAACCGGTAGTATTTGGCTAATTTGGTTTGGTTAATGTGGATAATTGGTTTGGTTTGGGTAAATTTTTTAGCTTGTTTGGTTTAGGTGGTTTGGTTTCAGACACTCCTAACCAATCAAACCAAATTAGCCAGGTAAGCAGTTTTCCATATATATAATATATATTGTATACACATAATTAATACTTGGCATAAACTGATTAACACTCAAGAGTCATACATTCCTTCCTTTTAGGCTCATCAATAATAAAGCTCAATATTGTTCCTATATTGTATATTTGTATTATTAGAGTGTAGATGTAGACCATTATATATGAACGCTTAATTTAGATAAAACTCATACAATATATTAGATGAAAACGTGAAAGAAATGTCTTTTCAACCTATGATAATTGCTAAGATTCTAATTCAATTCACCCAATCACAACAATTAATTAACTCCGTACTATTGACATGTATTTTTATTAATTGAATACTTCTATTGACCGTAAGATAATTGTATTAGTTGCATATATTTCTGTAAGGGTTAACTATAACTATGTGTTCATTGTAATGTTTTATTCATCATATAAATTGTGAATTGAGGCATTATTCGAAAATTTTCTCACTTAATGATAATGTGATGTAATATTGATTAATTTGGTTAACCAATTAACCAAATCGATTAAACTTTAGTTTGGTTAATTTGATTATTGTATTAGTTTGGGCGGTTTGGTTATTATATTATATTTCATGATTAATAGAATTTTTCCTTATTTGGTTTAGTAATTACCATGGTAACCATTTGAACACCCCTAATTTTACGTACCTATTCGAGTTCAGATTTCACTATAAAATCTATAGACCTTAAAATCTTACAGTATTCATGATCTAAATCTTTAAAATCTTATGATTTTACGATTCGAATTTTTGAGTCAATTTTACCTATTTTCTTCATAATTTGCAAAATCGCACATCTTTTCCTTCTCATCCCCCAACATCATCTATTTCTCACACACTAACAACCATCGAACATCATCAATTCACATCAACGTATTTATCGCCATCGGGTCACCACCTCTTAACATTAACTATGATAAATTGGAACATTAACCTTGAGAAATTATCATTGTAAGTGTTATGCATTTTTGTGTTATTTGCGATTTTCCTTATTAATATTATTCCGTTTCCATTTTTATATAAACCTTAAAATCATACGATTTTACGATTCCGATTTTACCCCAATTTTGATTTTACGTAAAATTCCGATTTCGAGAGCTTTGGTCCTATCACCAGTGAAGTCTAAACCTTACATCTCCAACCATCATTAATCCACCTTTTCAAGCTCACTTTAAATAAATGATGACTACACTGAAGGAAGTGAGTGTGTTTAATACTATCTTTAGTTAGTTGCTGTGAGAATATGTGAAAACCTTTTCTTGATTGTAGAAAGACATGCAATGATGCAAATAAGGGATACTAAATAATGAACAAATAAAATTTTCTTCATTATATTCTTTTATTCAAATGAGTTGAAGCTAAAAAGGGATATACGAGAAAAAAATAGGGGACTCGTTGGTTAACAATTTGGCTGAATAAATAATATATCGAAACAGTTAAACGATTACAACAGATAAGTAGTCATTCAAATGGTTGTGATTTGCTTAGACTTTAGACAGTTGCAACTTCCAACAAATAAACGATTACAACAGATAAGAAGTCATTCAAATGGTTGTGATTTGCTTAGACTTTATACAGTTGCAACTTCCAACAAATAAGGAGTCGTTCACTTGGTTTGGGTACAGTGCCATTGATGTTTCAATTTGTTTCTTCAAGCTTGAGGCAACTTTGGAAGACTTATTGAAAAATTGAGCATTAAGAACATTCAAATTTTCTAGTATAATTTTGTTCTCCATTATTCATGATCACGAAAAGGATTGTAGTCTTGTAGACAAGCATGCAATTGCAAATAAAGAATAATAAAGCATCAATAAATAAAATCTTCTTATGAACACAATAACTGTTTACACTCAAAAAAAAAAAAACTATACAACATTGATTACAAAATATCATGTACAGAAATGAAATGACTTCAATATCCTCTGCACAAATCCCCCATACAAAAACAATACTTACCACAAAAAGTGTATACACACAACCCCATTCCTTAAACAAATGCTAGAATTAAATCCCATGGTCCATTATCCATCTAAGTTACTTCAAAATCAGGGGATTTAAGTGTAGCATTTGTTCGTTGAATAAGTAGTAGCAGCAGTGGAGATCTCAGTAGGACATGAATTTGGTGGGGGTGAATCCCATGCATCATCTGGTGCAGGATTTGCAGGCAAGCTGAAAGGAAAGCCAATCGATCTAATCTCACTCCCAACCCACTGATGATTGTGGTTATGATTATCATCATCTTCTCCACCACTACTCTCAATCTCTTGTTGCAGAGTACTGATGGAGAATCCACTGAACTGCTGCCCCTGCCCTTCAAATTCCAGGGTTTCGGAAGAGGCCCTGTTGGACAAAACTGAACCCGACGAAGCTTCGATCGAGGAAAAAATGAAGTTGTTGGGAGCTTGAGGGAATGGGAACAGCGGTGGAGGAGAGAAACTTGGAGTTGAAGCTTGTTGTGGGAAGAATGGTGATGATCCAAGCTCTGACACGCAAGAAACCACGTCGGATGAGGAGGTGAAGTGGGAGGTGGCTTGTTGTTGGTTAAGGTGCTGGTAGAAGAAGTGGTGATCAGGCGGTGTCGATTCGTGATGTAGAGTCGGGGACATCATCCATGGATGATTAGACAGAGCTCTCTGCGCCATGGAATTCGTCTTCCTGAATATCCGACATATCGCCCATGCTTCCTGTTTATTACCAAGATCATCAACAAACAAGTGTTCAGAGTAACTTCTACGACAAGAAACCGTGAAACCTAAGCCAATTCATCTGAATCTTTTCTTACGTTGGGAGGGAGGGATTTGTCGAGGAGCTTCTTCGGTTGAAGGGATTGCTGACTTTGATCGGCGCAGGGGATAGGAGGAAGCCGGAACTCGTGCATCATCCAATCGGTCTTGATCCCTTTGGCAGCTCTTCCTCTGTAGAAAACCAGTGACTTCTTCAGCCCAATGCACTTGGTTCCTTCCGAAGAGTAAATCGGGCGGTCTGTTCCGGTCGCCTTCCAGAAACCGGCTCCGGTTACTCTGTTCGGCCTCGCGCTGTTCCTGTATTTCCGGTCCCTTGGACAGTAGAAATACCACTCTTTCTCCCCTGCAGTCGTCGCCACCCCTGTATTCAACATGTAAGAAAGCAACCGACTTTATTAGGAAAATGGCTCTCGGATGTTAACCCTAATGGCCCACCGGCCTCCACAATTTCAATAAAACAATGGAATCTGGTTTTGGAATTGGGTAGTAATTTAAATTTCCTAGTTTTATCTTTTCCTTGACGTGGGTGACTCTAAAACAGGGGAACTTGCTAGAATATCATACCTATCTCTTATGTATGAAACTGAAAGCAAGAAGATGGAAGAGTTCTCTGCTATAAGGGATTTCATGAACCCAGAAGGAATTTTCATATGAGCAGGAGGTTTTACTATCAAAGCTGAGTTATTTACTGAAAATAGTGAAAAATAGGGGATATCAGGGAAGTTGAGAAAACAGGGGAGGCTGGCTTACTTGGAAGATCCCAGGGATCGTATTTGTAGATATCGACTTGCTTAATGAGCTCAATAGCCAGAGACCTCTGCTGTATTTTCCTCTTCAGATAGAACCCTACCAGCTCCTCGTCCGTCGGATGGAACCGGAAACCGGGCAGCATCACGTCATCGCTGCCCTTATCCGTGTCACTCTTCTCCTCCATTTGACCAAGAAAAAAACAGAGCTTTGAGCAGTAAGGGGGAAGCAGAAAGAGTTTAGTACAGGTTTTTGGGTTTTGAGTGGGTGGATCTCCAAATTGGTTCTTTATATGATGGGGTTTTGGAGAATTGTGGAAAGACTTCTTTGCACACTCTGTTGAAGGTTCAATTTTCAAAAGCCAAGAGCAAAATGACAAAGGAACCTTCAAGTTGATGTTTAGTGAAGAGTATATTAGTAATATTAGGTTTTATTACTCTTTTCATGGGATTGGATTGTGGGGTTGAGTGAGGCAGAAGTTGAAAATATGAATTCTTCCCCAAAAGAAGGATCAGTTTTACATTCAAAAACCCTCATGAGATTTGCTCTGTGGTGGGAATGCTATCAGTTAAACTATCAATGAGTCCAAATGAATGGAATAGAATATGATTTAAACATTAGTCTACTATTACTATATTCTACTATATATTATCTGCCTACCAAAGATTTCAAAGGATAATCTGCCCTTTGCGATTTCTTTATACATTTTATACAAGTATAGTATTTTTTATTTTTATTTTTTTGCAAAAAAGTATAGTAATGTTTCATCTGGATGCATATGGGATTAGTCTTTTTTCAGTTCCTCCCCAAGTTTGTGCTAACCATCCATGAAATGAAACCTTGGTGAGAATAGCTTTTTGTTTTTTGATAACCGATTGTGTTGTTTAAAGCATTAGTTATTTGTCGTGATATTATAACGTTGATGATACATATAACATATGCAAAGTTGGATGTGGTTATTGTATGATTCTTCGAAAATTGATGCATTAGAGTCTTGTTTTGCACTCACTTTAATATTAAAAAAATTCAAAGAAAGTTCCTTGCTAGCTAGTGATTGTTTCGCCTAGTCGAACACCTTGTGAAAGAATATGTGTAGTTTAAGTCTATAAGATAGTTTCAAGTGACTTTGGTTCTTTGTCAATTTGATCCCTCTCACTTTCTTATCCAATAACAAAATCAACCAAGAACAATATTATGACACTCCAAATATAATAAATCGTATGCCACATTTTATCATCACATCCCCATTATCCAATCCAAGTAGTGCATAAACTTCACACAAATCTCTTCCCTCAATAGGTGAACAATGAATTCCATTCTTCCATAATATTATTTCAAATATGCTTTTCCCATAATGAGTGATATAAATTTGAGTGCATGTAAGAAAATGACACATCCCATTGGCAATATATTTTGTTGGCTTAAATCATGTTTAGGACTTCAAATGAGTAAAGACGACTAATGTGACAAACTAAATGGAAAAGAGTCCATACTTTATTATTTTAAATTAAATATCCTTATCAAAGCTAGCCTAAGCATCGTGACTTGATTCAAGAGACAAAAATTGTTAGGGAAAACAAACTCATGTTGTCAAGCTAGGGGTCAATAAAACACATCCCCTTAAAGCTTATGAAATTTGTTTATATCATATCCGAATTGACATGTCAAGAATTAGAGATTTATTAAAGTTAGGTAGAGAATGATGCATGTTTCAAAGGTATATTTGGCTTCCAAAACAATCATTACCAGTCTTCTTACCCACGCTGGGACTGCCAAGCAAAGTGAGGAATTTGCAGCAAGAACAAACAAAAGAAGGAATCAGAACAGCTACCAAAGTAAGGAAGGAGAGGGAAACCAAAATATATACTTTCCTCCGCAGAGGTACAAATAGGAATACTAAGACTTTTCAATCTGTATGATCTTGGATCACAGGGATGGTTCAATCTGTAAGATGTAGCTTAATAGGGATGAATTCACTCCGTGTCATCAATTTTACTTGGGAGTGACCAAAACTATGCAAAGAGAGAGCTCACTGACCTGCTTCCTCTGCTTCAAAATCGTCATATCCGCGACCAATCCAAAACCGATCATAACAGCAAAAGAAAATGTTCGTGAGAGGTTTCTCAGGAGAACAACCACCTGAAACGAAATTGACAGGAAAGTTGGAGACTTTCAAGAGGGATGAGGAATAGTTTTATCACAGCCGTCCAACGTATCAGTAGGAGAGAAGAGATGGGAGCAAAGCAACAAAACCAGAGGACTGGAGTACAGGAATAGAGAGAAAAACCTGCAGATGGGTTAGGTGAAATGAGTGGACCACAAATGAAAGAGTGATCGAAAACGAAAATATCCCTTCAACTCTCTCTTTTCTTGTGCCAACCCAATCTTCTCAACCCTTTCTGCTTCCCTTATCAAACCCCACTCCCCAGTTTAGGAATTAGGGTTCTAGACTCGGGGACATCAAAAATCACAACCACCATCGTTTTGTGCCCACAAATGGCGTCCTCTGTCAGCCGCGAATTCCCCTTCGTACCTTTCATCCTTCTCCTCATCCTAATAATTACCTCCACCGCAGCAGAACCCAGATCCGTCGCCGCCGCCGCCGCCGAAGACCCAACCCCGACGCCATGGCCGCTCCAATTCCACTCCGTACTCTTCATGAACAAAAGTGGCGCACTCCAGATGATCGACCTCTGGTACGACTGGCCCAACGGCCGCAACTTCAACATCATACAGGACCAGCTGGGCAAGCTCACCTACGACGCCGAGTGGAACAACGGCACCTCATTCGTGTACACCCTAGATTCCGATCGCGAATGCAAAACCCTCTACCCGGGCGTCGGCATCCTCCGACCCAATTGGCTCGACGGCGCCAATTACCTGGGCCAGCGCTACATCGACGGCTTCCTCTGCAATGTCTGGGAGAAGGTCGATTTCATTTGGTATTACGAAGACGTCGAGACCAAGCGCCCCGTCCACTGGGTTTTCTACACGGGGAGGCATGCTCATGTGATGACGTTTGAGGTGGGAGCCGTGCTGGAAGATGCCGGATGGCAGGCCCCTGCTTACTGCTTCGACGAACAACAACGGGGGAAGGAGAGAAACCCTGCAGCAGGAAGAATTGAATCTGTGGTCGGTGTTAGGAGGTCCCTTTTCGGCTGACCGCATCAAAATTGTAGAATGTGCTTGTTTCTATGCTTTGCTACTCTCTTCTCAGTCTTCTGCCTTGTGATCGTTTGATTCTAGCTGAGCTCTCTCCACTTCTAGGATGAATAAAAGTTTTGGCAGCGCCCTCTGGTAGATTCCCACTTCTTGGTGGTTAATGACACGAGTCAGAGTTTGAATTTTTGCTATAATTTGGGTTTAGTTCGTTCAAATAATTCCAATTTCGTGTTTGACTCGTTTAAAAGGAGAAGAAGTTTGAGCTTGATTTGGAATCGCCAAATGAATTTAACTAGAAAAAATAGGTTCAAATGATAAAATGTCGAGTGTAGCTCAAGTTTGAGCTAGAATCAGCTCACAAGACACCAATATCAAAGACTTAAATGCATTCGAGCTTGTTCGCTAGCCTATCAGCTGAATACGTCAAGGCTCGTGCTGTGCTCATCTATAAAACTGGTTGTTCACGAACCGGCTCGGTTAAAAACGAGTTCCGACTAACCTCTACTCTGCCCCAGCTCGCCAGCCCTTTAGATTTCATGTTCTCTCCCTTTTACTAGGGGTGTTCAAACGGATTGGTTACCGTGGTAAACATATTAACCGGTAGTATTCGGTTAATTTGGATAATTGGTTTGGTTTGGTTTGGTTAAACAATTTAGCTTATTTGGTTTAGGTGGTTTGGTTTGGTTTCAACACTGCTACCCAATGAAACCAATTAACCAATTAATGATACATCTAATATACAAAATTATTTATAGTTTCATGCAACCAACCAAACCAAACTTTCGTGATTCCCTATTTTATTTCCATGTGCACACAAACCAAAGCATTATGGGTCAAAAAATAAACGGGTTTGCTTATTTACTAAACCAAAACATTTTGGACAGCTACTACACTTTAGTATTACGTACAATACCATGACAGTCACCTCAAACTATGTATAGTTTAAGTGTTTTGTATGAGAGCTTTAACTTCCTTATGAGTGGTATTGGTATGTATTTAATATATATGAATCATGGATGGTTAGTCATATTATTAATGCTTATATATAATGATAGTAATAACATATGGTTATGTTTTATTCATTAACATGATAATTGTTTTCATGTAATGTTATGTTATTTGGTTAATCCGATTATCCGACTAACCAAACCAATTAAACTTTGGTTTGGTTAATTTGGTTTTCATGTTAATTTGGACAGTTTGGTTAAGATTTTTTATTCCATGGTTAATAAAATTTAGGCTTAATTGGTTTGGTTATTACCACGGTAACCATTTGAACACCCCTACCTTTGACGACTTCATCTCCTCATCCCGTCATTGAGTTCCGGCTAGCCTCTACTCTGCCTCAGCCCTCACAATAACTAGGGATGGCAATCAAACCCATGGTCGCGGGTATCCGCCCACCTCCGACCCAATTAACGGGGGGAATCCCCACATCGACCGGGTATGGGGTAGGTATGGGTAAAACCCGCAAAGAACTTGATGGGTATGGGGTGTGTATGGTTTTAGCGTTCCCCGCACCATACTCATACCCAAACCCGCCCCATCAAGGTATTTTGCTATACGTAAAACATTATAAATATATTTTTATAAATTATTATTAGCATGAAGGTAATTAAATAACAAAACATGATTAAAATGTAATCATATTTATCAAAACCCTTGAAATTTTCAACCCTCTCAGCCGGCTACAGTTTACTTTCTCAACTCCTCAATGTCGCCGCCTTTACTCTCCTGACTCCTGAATCATCTTGGAGATGATCACCTTACCAAAATTGTTGATGATATAGTAATAGGTCATTACATATCATTTTTTACATTTGAATTATTTTGATGCATATTGGTGTAACTTAGTGTGTTTGAATAATTGGAAGTCTAGTAGACTTTAATCTCTTAGAAGCAAAAGAGGTTTTTGTCTAGTTGACAAGTTTATGTTAGCTATTTACTATATAAATGTCTTAGATTCGAAGATGAATGATTTGATATAGTATTATGTTTTCATTTTGTTTTATTGATTAATCAATAGTTAGGATTGAATGTTTTTTTCTATTAAGAAATACTATACCTATGTTGATTTCCGCTATTCTTATGTATGTTTGGTGTTATGATTGAAGACATACATGTTGAATTTTAGATATAATAATATTGCTTATACGGGGCGGGTATTATCCATGGGTATCCGAACCCATGGGTATGAGAATGAGTTTGCAAAACCTTCCTCCACATAGACATGAAGCGGGTATGGATTTGATACTTTGATAATCTAAAGAATATATTAAACACTTTCCCGTAAAAGACTTCACCATTTCAAATTTACTCTTCCCTTATTATTCCACGTCAGCAGCCTGATCAGCCAATCACAATTCGTTCTACCAAAAAATTTTACCCATCCGAAACAACTTCCTTAAAAAATGGAAACAACCGTTTTTCTTTTTAACCCGCAATTTGCTTCGTGGTGACATCCCCCCCCCCCCCCCCCCCCCCTCATTTATCTCTACGAAAAAAAAACGAAATCATTTCCCCTATTTTTTAGCCCCCATTAAACTACAATTCTTCTACCTTTATCTTTTTTTTTTTTTTTCTCACTTTAGACCGTTAACTCAAAGTTACCAACATTATAAAAAAAAAAGGTAAACGTCATAAACTCCAACCCTCCATTTTCTAAATATATTTTTAATAAGTAACTCAAAGTTTAGAATGGAATATTATAATAAATTTTATAATAAAATGAGTGTTCATAAAAACTTTAATATGGATGATATGACAAAAGAGTAACTTTGAAAATCATATACTTTACAAATAGATAGTCACATGGAGCTCATAATTTCAACCAAACATATAATGGGATGCTAATTCATTCTCAAAACTGAATTAAATTTTTACAAACAAATATACAGGTACAATTACTGCAAGAGATACGTATGTATAAGCAAAGCTCAAAAGTATTTTTAAGATAAATCAATACAGGAAATTAATAAATAAGTGCATAAGCAAAGCTCAAAAGTATTTTTAAGATAAATCAATACATGAAATTAATAAATAAGTGCAAACTCAAGTAGTGCGACAATACAAATTGATCAGTCATTGATAACTAACTTCCTTGACCATTGACAAAGCAACGTGTGGTTCTTACATTAGGTATCAAAATTTATTGATTGAGGGTCGGACATCTTAAGTGTAAAAGCTCATTGAAATTGTGTAAAAAGTTAGATTGTCGAACATCTATACCTCTAATTTATCGGATTTTTTGGCATGATATATTCTATACTCTAACTCTTGATGAGTGAACCTTAAGTATTAGTTATCTAAATCATAGAGCCTAACCTCTAAGATTGTGAATGTAATTTGTTGTATATATTTCGACGAATCATGACCGTCGATTTTTGTTTCTAATGAAAGTGATCTTAGAGTTTGAGATTTATAGAATTAAGACCTAGATTTTAATCTTTAAGGGTTTGAGAATAGTATCATATGCCAAACTCCAATCAATTCAAGGTCTAGATATAATTTTTCATACTCAAGGTATTCCATACCTTTTGATCTTTTCAACGCAGTATATAACCACTCATACATGTTAAACTGGGATGAAACTCTAACATGACACGACAACCTTTGCTTCCATGTACAATGAAATAAAACATGAGACTGCGAGATAGTGGGACAGGCCAATGTAGTCAAAATTGACTTTAAAACTTAAAAACTTACGATTTTACGTTTCTAGATCACTAAAACGCTTTTACATAATAACTTAATTTTTTTAATTTACGTTGTTAAAAACTCCGCTTTAAAACTTAAAAACTTACGATTTTACGTTTCTAGATCACCAAAACGTTTCTACGTAGAAACTCGCTTTTGACTATATTGGGACAGACAACTTGGACTCTATGTCGTGAGTCGTATGGAACACGGACACAAACTTCTACGGATAAAAAATACATATTTTATGGATATAAGAGGTCTCATAATTATAAAATACTAATTAACTGAAATGATTTAATAATTAATTAATTATCAATAACAAAAATAACCCGGCCAAACCTGGCCAATGGCCGGGCACAAAGCTAGTATATATAAGATGGTTTAGGCAAACCCGTCTCATTGCCATGCCAACGATATCACATCATAAAGTTTGAATTTTTTTTTTGTACGGTATTCTAACAAAACATTAATTTTTATTTAAAAAACGGTATTTTATTGCTGTGAAACGTTTCGGAAATCTAGGAAGGGGGCGGTCAAGTCAAAAGCGGTGGTGGAGACTGGAGAGTGAGGCAGGCAAGTCGTCATAGTTTTAGGGCTTTGTTTCTGTTTACTTGACGAACAAAGATCGAGTGACCGAGAGCGGCGCTGCAGCGGCACACTTCGTCATCGCCGTCGTCGTCAAGTGTCACCCGACGAAGGCGTGAATTTAGGGTAATTGCTCCACCACTCAATTTCCTTTCTCACTATATAGATCTTTCTATCTCTTCGAGTTTTCCTTGCTTCACCCGTGGTGACAAATCATCTTGGTCGATGGTCTATATCACAACGAACAATCCTAGGGTTTCATCTCTTTGAGGTTGTAGCTAGAGTTTGTGTTGGGTTTCATCTCTTTGAGGCTATAGCTAGAGTTTGTGTTCAATCGTTCCTTGTAGGAGGCCACTTTTGACACGCCCATTCCACCATCTGTTAACTTAGCGGGATTCAGAGGGAGAACTGAACTTAGCCAATCTCTTTCCCTACTTCGTGTCAGCTCCCTGTGCTGGGAAGTATTAGTTTATCGATTTTAACATGTGTCGTGCATCTTGGCTTGAGGTTGATGTTTTGGAATCTGATTGCCTTAAATCAGGGCCCTCTGCTGCTTATCTTGTTGCTGTCTTTTTCTCTAGTCTAGTTACTGCCTGACTGGGTATGGGAAATCCCTGTCGATTCAGGCTATTTATTAAAAGAATACATTCTCACGTTAGGTGAATCGGGAGTTCTTTCTTAGTAATTAGCAGTGCTGTCAAAGCCGAGCCGAGCCCGCCGGCCGAGCCGCCAAAACCGCCACCCGACCATAAAACCGACTCGACTCAACTATTTAGCCGGAGTGGTTATTTGGGGCGGCCGGAGAGCGGCCGAAGCGGTTAACCGCTCGAGCCGCTCGCCCGGTTTTTTACCTTTGGGCCGGTTGCTTTAATTAAAAAAAAACTAAAATATCGAAAATTTAAGGGGAGGCTACTGTGCTGAAACCCTAATTTCATTCTTCCTCTTCGCGTAGACAGCCAGACACGAAGGAGAAGCAGCTTCCTCCTCCGCAGCCGCCGTTCCCCGTAGCCCGACGCCGTCGTCGTTCACCATCACTCGACGCCGTCGCCGTTCGCCATCGCTCGACGTCGTCGCCGTTCGCCATCGCTCGACGCCACTCCCCCGTCGCCCGTCTCCATAGTCGTCGTCGTCTTCGGCGGCTCGTTCCCCGCTCCTGCCGGCGAGCGCAACGGCCGGCCGGTGAGGTCTCCCTTCTCCCTTCTCCGGTCACGGCTGCCTCTCCCCTGCATCGACCCCTGCTGTCCATAGACACTCTGCTTCCAGGTTTCTAATAACCCCTGTTCTCCTTTTTCTTTCTACTTTCTATTTGTCTTCCTCATGTCTCTGTGTATATGATATCCATAGAATAGCGCTGTAGATTTCCTCCTCTTGATTCTAATTTGGTCTGAAAGGTGCGACTTTCTTGTTAATTTGGCCGGTGTTATTATTGTGTATACTTGCTTTCTCTTTCGTGAGCTTTCCTTATTACCTGTCTGCATCACATAGTCATCATGTCTTTTCCATCTGTAGTATACATCTAGCTAACAAAGAATGAGTTAAGAAAACTAGAAACTGGTTCTGTTGTTGGTTGTCAAATTTCATGAACAAATTGTAAACTGATAAGAACCACGAAAAAGAAAGAGTAACTTTCAGATTGGGTATTTGGGAAACTAAAGTTTCGAGAGTCTCTCAGGTACGTGCAATGGACAAGAACAAATTTCAAGTGATGGGTAGCTCTCTACATCATTTCTGCTTTGCTTGTGTAAATTACATTTGTTCAAGGGGACATGTCCCTTTTTGTGTAGGAGTAGGATTATTGTCTCTCTGTTGGACTAACGGAAGAGTAAGAGTGATAAATATATTGAAGTTAATTGTCTATGGAGAAGAGTTGGGTGGGAACTGATACCATGATTAAGAAGTGTCTACTATTTATACAAATGACTATTTATTAGGTACCGGTTCTCAAACGGGTTTTAAACGGTCTAATGCCGGCTGGACCACTAAAGACCGAGCCGTTCATGTTACCGGGTCATACTCCGGTTCGGTTCTGACAACATTGGTAATTAGTATAATCTATCTGGAGAACTTTGTGATTTTTGGAGATTTTCCCCCTTCATCGAATGCCCACTTCTGGTAGAATGCCAAAGCCTATTTGTTCTTTGTTGTGGACGTAGTTTCCCCTGAAATCATTCGTGGGCTTTTCTGCGTTGCTGTGAATTTTCTTCTCTGTGGGTTGCTAGCGAGGTACCAATTTTGAATTCCATCAGGTTCCTAGATGCTAAATATGATAATGTTTGTGTCTTTTTCCTACTTTGAATGTGAGCACTGCTTCCCCCATTGATTCTGTTGTGAATTTTTGTGTCTTCTCTGTGTGATATTTGAAGTTACAGTGTTGCTAAGGGTCTGTGTGCCCACTTTTCTTAGTTACATTGAAAGGTATTTGGCGAAACTTGAACAATCAGTTTAAAATGCACAAGGTCCTGTAATAAAAATATAATTGGGACAGACATAGTTGGCCAAAAGAGTGGATCAGTTGTGATAATAGTAATGCATCTGTAAAGATATTCTTTTGTCTTTGTTGGTGCGTCATGTGTCCGGAGAAGTACCTTTGATATTTGGGATTTCCTAGGACACAGAAAGTCTGAAATGCAATGTTTATTTTGAGCATTACATTATCACTTTCAGGACCAGTATGAAACTATCAGTGTTTCGCAGTCTGAATCTCCTTAGTCCCTTACTGTTTTATTCAACATTAGCTCCCAAGATTTCAAGTACAGATAGAGTTGTTAGTGCTTATGCTCGTACTGCGAAATCAAACTGGTGTATCACGAAGTTAAGTAGGGAAGGGAAGCTAAATGAAGCACGTGAAGTTTTTTATCAAATGCATAACAGAGATGTAATAACATGGACGTTAGTGATTAGTGGATATATCAAATCTGGATGGATTGAGGAGGCAATAAGGCTTTTTGATAGAGATGATGCGATAAAGGACGTGGTCACATGGACTGCAATGGTTAATGGGTATTTGAAACTGAATCTCAAGTTAGAGGCAGAGAAATTGTTCATGGCAATGCCATCAAAGAAAGTTATTGCATGGAACACCATGATTGGTGGGTATATGCATGTTGGTGAAATAGATAAAGGGCTTGATTTATTCATGAAAATGCCCAAGAGAAATGTGGTTTCATGGAATTTGGTTATAACTGCATTGCCAGAATATAGGAGGGTGGAGGAGGCAAAAATATTATTTGAAAAAATTCCTCAGAAGGATGTGGTTTCATGGACAATAATGGTGGCTGGTTTGGCAAAGAATGAGAGAATTGATGAGGCCAGGGAGTTATTTGAAAGAATGCCAAAGAGAAATGTGGTGACATGGAATGCAATGATCGCAGGATATGCAAAGAATATGAGATTAGATGAGGCTTTTGTATTATTTGAAATGATGCCTGCTAAAGATATAGCCTCATGGAACACAATGATCACAGGTTTTATTCAAAATGGTGAGTTGGAGAGGGCAAGGAAGTTGTTTGTTGAGATGCCTGAAAAGAATGTGGTTTCATGGACAGCATTGATTACGGGATATGTCCAATTGGAGGAAAGTGAATCCGCATTGATAATCTTCGTGGAAATGATAAGAGATGGTAATGTAAAGCCCAACGAGGTGAACTTTTGTTAACATTTTGAGTGCATGTAGTGACCTAGCCGGTCTTAGTGAGGGACAACAAGTTCACCAAATAATTATTAAAAGTATCTTGCAGCATAGGGCATTTGTTGTGTCAGCATTGATAAATATGTACTCAAAGTGCGGGGAACTGGGTATTTCTCGGAAAATATTTGATGATACAGCAGTTAATAAGCGGGATTTGATTTCTTGGAATTGTATGATTGCTGCCTATGCTCACCACGGATATGGAAGGGAAGCGATTGTATTGTTCGATCGAATGCAAAAATCTGGGTTTAAGCCTAATGATGTTAGCTATGTTGCGTTACTTTCTGCATGTGTGCATACTGGATTAGTGGAGCAAGGTCTGAAGTACTTTCAGGAGCTTCTCAGTGACAGGTCAATACAAGTAAGAGAGGAACATCATACATGTTTAGTTGATCTATGTGGTCGGGCTGGAAGGTTGGAGGAGGCGTATGATTTTGTCAGGAAACTCGGTGCTAAGGAGTCATCTTCAATATGGGGATCTCTGCTTGCATCATGTACTATCCATGGGGATCTGAGGATAGGAAGGCTGGTTGCTGAAAGGCTTTTAGTTGAGGGGCCAAAGAATGCCGGCTCATTTTGCTTCTGTTGGTAAATGGAAAGAAGTTGAACGATTGAGATTGGAAGTGAAAGATAAAAGCCTTAAAAAGCAGCCTGGATGTAGTTGGTTGGAAGTTGGGAATAAGGTCAATGTGTTTGTAGTTGGTGACAAGCTTAGTTCAGTCTAAGTCACTGCATTCTTTACTCTATGATCTTCATGAGAAAATAAAGAAGAAAGGTCACATACTAAATGCTAGTTTCTTGGAGACAGATGGTTTGTATGCAATAATTCCTTGAAGCATTTTCCATTGTGTTTGGGAATCAGTAATCACTTGGAAGCCATGTGCTGAGAGTTATAGTTAATCCACTTAACTTTTCCTTGTTTCCCCCTTCAGTTACGTATCTTTATATAGACAACAAGAAGTTTTACTTGTGATTGGGATGTAACCTTGGGCTTGGTAAATTGAATTTCTGACATGGTGGTTAATACTGATTTTTATTTGTGCTTGTTATATTGTTTATGGGAAAATGGTTTCACCTGCCATCACCATCATGCTGTTGTTTAGTTGCTTGTTTGAGCTCAATGTTATTTTCAAGTTTTATGATGAGTACTATCTTTCCCTCTTGTTTCATGCTTGTTTCAGTTAAGCTCCCTTCTTAATGACAGTTGCTAAACAAGTTGTTCTTTGGGTAAGCAATCCTTACCTTCTTTTTTTTATCTTTGGGTGCAGGGATAATACAAAGTTCTACTGGGTAATTGGTTTGTTTCACCAAAGAAAGAGACGAGGTGAAGATGGATGATTGGGGTATGTGTTTCTACCTCACATTCCAGTACTTAGTGTTTATCTGGGTTGGCGCGTCTGATTTAGCTGAAAAACTCTGTATTAAAGCCTTCGTTAATGTGGAAATCTGATAAGAGATTTTACTATAATGTACCATCAAAGCATGACCGTGCACTTGGTTCCATTCGTGTCCCTGGCAACTGTTGATGAATTATAGTGGTTTTATATGGAGTTCTATAACTCAACTTAAATAATATTTCAAATCGAATTGTTACTTACTAGAAATGCTGCATGACGAAGATGCTCGAAGTTCCTATTGTGACATGACTAAGCCTGGCAATCCGCTGAACCTTGATACATTTTCTTATTGTTTGCATTGTAGAGGATGAGCAAATTCAACCTGTTCTGTTGAAGGAGCAACCTAAAAGCAAATGGGATGATGAAGATGTGGATGAAGATGAGATAAAGGAATCATGGGAAGATGAAGATGAATTACCCACGGTATGATTAATGGTCTTACTATGATCTTAAGCATCTAATCTGGATATTCATGCATTGCGATGTTTCTTTTGAACATGCTGAAAAATGTTTAGTTACCACCGAAACATACACAAAGCAGCAAACAGAGCACAAGATTCAATGTTACTAACCTTAAACATAAGCTTAAGTAGTTGCCTGGCATCATACCAAATAACAATCCGATACCAAATATTTACTAAAGCTCAATAACTGGACTTTAAATATTTACTTAAGCAGTTGCCTAGCATCAAAGCAAATAAGCAGTTGCCTGGCATCCTACCTTGGTAGCTATGCCACTAATATTAATACTGTTTGGTGTCACTTAAAGTTTTGACTTTTTATGTAACTCAATGGTGCTCTCTATCAGGTGCCTGTATCAAAACCTGTGCCAGAAAAGGTCCCCAAGAAGCCTGTGGCAAAGTCTACAAAAGAAAAAACTGTGGAACCAGCAAAGGAAGAGCCACCACTAGACCCCGTAGCAGAAAAGCTTCGCCAGCAAAGGTATTAGACTTTGTTTTCCAAGTTGAACTTTAACTTATAAAATTTAAAGATTGACTTCTATTTAATTTTCATTGCCATGATGTATGATCAAAAGTGAGCTTGAAAGTAAACGTTATAATATGGTGCGATCTCATTTTGATCAGCATATCCTTTGAGATAGATACTTCATCTCATAGTGTGACAGTTTGAATCTAGTCTTCCGGTGAATGCGATTTCACTCTTTGCTGGTCAATGCTACATTTCATTAATATGATATTTTAAGCTGCAGCTCAATAAGGATTTTTCCTTTCTTTTAGGCTCGTGGAAGAAGCCGACTACCGGAACACTAAGGAATTGTTTGGTTCAAAGTCGAGCACCAATGAAAAGAACATTGATAATTTCATCCCCAAATCAGAAAGCGACTTCTTGGAGTACGCAGAGCTCATTTCCCAAAGGCTCCGCCTGTATGAGGTGTGTTGATTTATAGCTTTTGTGGTTTATCTTTTGTATTTGAAGGGAGAGGCCCTGTTATTTTTTTTGGGTTGGGGGGGGGGGGGGGGGGGGGGGGGAGGGAGTTCCAGTTTACTCATACATGCGAGGTTCGAAAACTGCAGAAAAGCTACCATTATCTCTCTCTGCTCAAAACTGTGATGAGACACTCAATGACCAGTTTGAAAGCAGCAGATGCAAAAGATGTGGCGTCTTCTGTTACTGCAATTGCAAATGAAAAGCTCAAAGCAGAGAAAGAAGCCAATGCTGGCAAAAAGAAGACAGGTCAGTGTCCTGATTTTGCCCTTACAGAAGTCTTCATCTCATTTCTTTTCGTTGTTTGTTGATTCGGGTTCTTATTGCAGGTGGGAAGAAGAAGCAGCTGCATGTGGATAAGCCGGATGATGATATTGTGGTGACGGGATATGATGCACTTGATGATTATGATTTCATGTGAGTTTTAATATCTAGATCAGTACCCAATGTTTGCTGCTGAGAGCCTTTCATTTTGAGTTGCATATTTGACGATATAAACATACACAGACGGTCAATGCCGTGGCAGTGGTATTGAGATTTTGGAGCAGGGTAAATGCTTTTATGGGGATGTGTTTGGGCTGTTAAAAGTCGAAAGCTTATTCGAAAGGTTAACTATTTATTAACTGTCAGTTCTTTTTTTCATTGCCGTCTGGGAAGGTGGAATAAAACAGCTATTACTCTTATTTTGCTTTTGTGCTTCAGAGTTGGAACTTATTAGGCGTCACTTGTTTGCGGTTTGTTATTGTGAACTGGATGCCTCATTTGTGGTTCAAAAGTGACATTTTCAAATAGCCCGCCATGGATATGAAGTTTTCTCTAACTTTTTAGTTGCTCAGTTGTTGTATTATTGATGATGATTCGATGATCTTTGGAAGACGGTGCTTTTCAGTTGGTTGTGATTAGCCGTCTCGGCTGCATTGATTTTTGTTTCTCCTTTTTCTGAGCTTCCTCTCTACGTGGCATTGCATTTCCTGCCTCTAGAGATGATTCCAGGACAACACGTTGGAGTTTCTAGAATCCATGTTCTCGTCCAACTCATCTAACAGATATTAGGTTAGTATATCAGTGGGTAACATATTATAGGTTACCTCGGTTGCATTTTGCAAGTCATCAGAATGAGAGTGAGTTCCTGATGCAGCTCAGTACTATTTGCTTTGTTCCTTTCTCAAGTACTATAGAGTGGATCGATCGGTGACACGATTTATATTTGGGATGTAAGTGCTCTTCTATCGACTTACTCAAGAAGAGATAAATTTGTAAGTGAAATGAATTATTAAATTTTCTTTTACTTGATCACGCCCTTCATAAAAGACTTACTCAAGCTACCACTTTGAACCCCCTCTTTTAGGGCATTTTAGTGCATACTTATATTCCTACCAAAAAGAAGTCAAAGAATTATAAAGCTACAATTGCCTATATCCAACCTGGAAGAAAACAATAATAGTTAATTAATATATATAACTTAAGGGAAAATCCCAAGTTTGAAACTTTCATGCCATAATCACAAATAACAATCATCATTTAATTTTTAATCCCAACGTTGATCAATCAATTCGAAACTTTTATACAAAAAAAAAAAAAACTTAAACTGCCAAAGCACACAATACAAGTCATTAGCTAACGTCATTTTTGCCTCGTATAATAAAATTACAAAAGAATGAGACGGCAAATGGTAGAAGAGAGGCATTCAAGCACTAATGTCCTCCGCCATTTCCTTTTCCCCGCCTTTCTATCCCTTCCTTTCCTACCTTACTTTTCCGTCCTTTCCCATTTATTCTGCCCCAAAAAGCTTCCAACTTCCCTCTCTTTCTCTCACACTTCCTTTCGTCCTTCCGTCTTCTTCACCCAACACAAAAAAAAGTTTTGGAAAACCCTCTCAAGACTTTGGCTTTTTCGATTTCTGGCCACAACCCGATTTCCCTTATTGTATTGGGTAGTCGGGGAGGAAAAAATAGAGTGTGGGATCAAAGGGAGAGCGGGAGAAGGGGCAAATGCGGCTTCCTCTGGTAACGGAGCTCGCCGCCTGTTCTCGTTGATGGTGGTGGTCTGGTTTTTGTAGCCCCCCGCCGGCCCCCCCTATTGTTGACTATTGAAATCTTTTTCCACCCACATTTCTAATTCACCCCATCTTCCGCAATCATTCAATTCACGGGGCATTCTCTCTTTCCGTCTGTCTTTTAGGGAGGGCAGATCCCGAGATCTCTGTCTCTCTTTCCTCTTCTTCCTCCCTCAATCTTCTTTCTCAAAACAAAAATCCATCCACCCCACTTTTCAATCCAATATCTCGTCGTTTTCCGCCATAGCTCGAAGCTCTTTTCTTCAGCATCTGTTCAACCGTCTACTTCAAGCCAGACCCAATTTCAGACGGCTTTTCCTCTTTCCAGATTCTGGGTTTTTCGGTTCATCAATTTGATTTCTCTTTCAGATCATCTCCCTCTGTTTTTGTTTTTTTTTTTCGACAGAGGAGCTTAATTTTTTAGTTATTATTATTGAGGAAATCTCTGACAATCATCCTCAATCCATTTGTCAAATTCCATTCCATCCGGCCTTCCTTGTGTTTTCCGTTTCCGATTATTCAATAGAATTCTTTATCGAGAATCTCAAACCAGGGGGGTTTCAAAAGGAGACTGTTCCAGCTCATCAATGGAAGGATGTTTCCTCTCATCATATCTTAACCCCATTCCCCAAAATCCACTTCGTCAGGGCTCTCAATAGCCAAAAGTCGCAGACTTTTCCATCCTTTTCAGCTCTGGTTTCTGGATTGGAGCTGAATTCTCTTTTAGGGTGGATTCGGTTGAAATGGGTTGTGTGAGTTCGAAGCAGCACAAGCAGCGATGCAAGCACTGCCAAGCTCCGTATTCCCCAGTGCCCAGAAGCTACTCGATGCACGTAATTCACCCGCCGCAGTACAAATCCGACAGCTACCATCTGGTAGCCCTAACTTCCTCAACTCTCGGCTCTCTCAAGCTCGAGACGGTGAACGACGGAGAGGTCGATTCTCCCAATAATGCCACCACCGCAGCCACCGGCGTCAGCAATGAAGATTGGTTGCTACCGGAGACAATCAAGAACAAAGAAGAGTTCGCAATGGGGTTAATCGAAGCCAAGACCTGGTCCAAAATGATCGAGGAGAAGATCCCACGGGTCCCCAATCATCATCCCAAAACCCCAATCATGACTCCGCCGGGAGAGCCAGAGACGATCAACACCTGGGAATTAATGGAAGGGCTAGAAGAAGATCGTTTCACCAGCCCTTGTAGATTACCCAACCACATTCGAAGCTTCTCGTTCGATGTCACCCGCGAAGCCACAGACATCGTCGTCGACAGCCCCAAACTCAGCTTCAACCATCAGGTAAACGCCACTCATTTCAAAGTCGGATCAATCGATGAAACGGAAGCCGAAGCAGAAGAGGAAGAAGCAATTGATAAGAAGCTGCATTCGGGAAAAGGTGGGAAGGACTACTTCGACCCGAACATCATCTCGATGTTCAGGAAGTCGATGCAGGAGCTCTCCCCAAGCCACCCTTACCATTTGAAGAAGCCCGCGAAAGAGAAAGACAGAGTGATCGTCTACTTCACGAGCCTGCGTGGGGTGAGGAAGACGTACGAGGACAGTTGCTACGTGAGGGTGATCCTGAAAGGAGCAGGCGTTAGGGTGGACGAACGAGATGTATCGATGCACTCGGGGTTCAAGGAAGAGCTAAAGCAGCTGTTGGGAGGCTGTGGTGGAGGGTTTAGCTTGCCAAGGGTGTTCATAGGGAAGAAGTACATTGGCGGGGCAGAGGAAGTACGGCGGTTGCACGAGGAAGGGCAGCTCGAGAAGGCGGTGGAAGGGTGCGAGCAGGCCGAGGCAGAGGATGGTGGTGGTGGTGGGAGTTGTGAGGCTTGTGGGGATATAAGGTTTGTGCCTTGTGAAACTTGTAATGGGAGTTGTAAGATATACTATGAAGAGGAAGAAGAAGATGAAGAACTAGAGGAACATGAGGAAGGGTTGGAAGAAGAAGAGGGGATGAATGGTGGTGATTATGGGTTTCAGAGGTGTCCTGATTGCAATGAAAATGGACTAATTCGATGCCCAATCTGCTGCTATTGATGAGTTGAGTTGAGTTCAGTTCAGTTTTCACTTGTTGATGATGCAGTTTCAGGTTAGGTTGGTTCTAATCTGTGATTTGGTTTGTGGGTTTGGGTTGGGTTTGTACAGAGATCAGATGGGTTGGTCTTGATTTTTGGGGTTTATATATGTTTTTTGATGAATGAAAGTAATGTAATACTTACTTACTACTTACAGGTATAGTGGGGAGAAATAACAGATATGATTTTTCCAATTGATTACTGTGACATTGCAAATTTGTAATGGTTTATCCATGCCATCATTAAGTTGATGAATGGGCTGCATTTTGGGTTTTCACTTATAATCGCTTTCCAGTTAGTGTCATCATTTGGGGCAGAAACTTCAAAGTGATTCGTCAAAAAAAAAAAAAAAAAAAAAAAAAACCCTTCAAAGTGGCAGCCAGAAAAGGAAGGGGGTGGTGGTGCTTTATTGAGGAGCCATTGAGCTCTTCTGTAATGATAGTTGTTTGAATTTTTAAATGTTTTTGGTACTTTAGGAGTGAAAGATGTCTTGAGACGTAGATCTCAAGTATATGGATCTTTTGCTCGTTTGGATGATTGATTTAGTCATGAGGTAATTTGATCTAATTGTTTTTGAAATTATCTTACGTTATATGAATATTTCTCATTATTTCTGGTAATCAAATTAATGCAAAACGAAGCAATTTAAATTGCATAAGTCAATTGCTGCATCACGATTATGTGTTTCCAAACGAGACAATTAGAATTACTTGTTACATTATGAGGCAATTGGGTTAGATAGTCTCGTCCAAACGACCCCTTTGTGTCTGGTTCAATATGATTGTAAAAAATCTATTTGTACATTAGTATGATTCTACGTGGTCATGAGGAAGGCTTGCTTTGGTATGTATGGTTCCCTCTCTAATTCCCTTTGATGTCTTTCATTCAACACTTTGGATCAAGGTTGAAGCTTGAGAGTGGAATGAGTTGTTCACTGTTCCACAAACTCCTACCTTCCAAGTGATCAGATTAGTATTCTTGATCTAATTATAAAATCTTCAATGTAATCGTTTAAATTATATTTTTCTAGATTTAATATTATTTTCATTCTATATAAATTATATAAATAATCTCCATTGTTTAAGTATATATAGTACTTCATTAATCTGAGGAGAAGTCACTATATAAATTATGAATTAGTACGAGGTTGGATTATAGTAATATATCCTAACATCTAGTAAGAAAATCTTAGGTCCTAACCCTCAAAACTCAAACCCTAAAATTAATTTGATAAAAACAGTTATTGAAAAATCATTCATCAAATTATATCCACCAGCAAAACCGTGAGAAATATGACCTATTTTAGAAGTAAATTACCCGAGGTGAGTTGATGGTATAATGGGAGGCTGTAAGCAAATCTTAGGTCCTAACCTGAAAATTCAAACTCTAAAATTAATTTAATGAAAACCTTTACTGACAAATTATTCTTCAAACTATATCCACCGACAAAATTGTTAGAAATGCGACCTATTTTAGAAGTAAATTACGGGGAAGATGGTTGATGGTATAATAGTGGGCTGTCACAGCACTAACTCTTATGCACCAATTCTATTACTGTCTACTGACTACTAAGACAGGCAACCCACAACATGAAACCCATATTTTATTTTGCATTTAGTAGTTTTTATTGAACACTGGTCTCCCCTGTTGCACAAGCTAATCTGCAGTTTTATATATAATAAAATGTGCAGAATCCTGATATTGATATTAATTAATTAATTATGTGGATTAAGTTGCTAATAATGTTGCTTAATAAATTATAAAATCACGTGTAAAATCATCTTATGCACAGTACCAATATCAGTTGCGAATGGCAGAATATTCAGTGATTTAGTCACTAAACAAACAAACAACGAGTTAATCGACAAAATTAATTTTCGATCAAAGAAATGTGATTAGTTAATCCCAAAAAATGTGATTAGTGAACAAATTATGTAATTAGTTACTTAGGAAAACATTAATCGTCAGACGATGAAATGGAAATGGAGATCTGAATTTAGAATTTGTGCAGATCGCATACGGTATGCTTATTAGTAATTAACTAAATTCGTATGTGATACATTGAATTTTTTAATTTTCTATAGAAAAAATAGGAATACTTGTTAACCAGCACTAACAGCACGGCAAATAAAGCATTCCCTGAATTTCTCCCGAAAGTCGGCCACTAGAATTCTGTTTATTAATGGACCAAACATGCTAGGCGTGAAGGCAAGTTATGCATTTGGATTTGGTGTCTTTTCTAAACCTTAAATAGGGGGAAGAGGAGACAAATGGTCAATCCTTCCTCGCTCTTTTGATTTTTATAATTTCTTGACATATGTCCTAATCTTCTTCATTTTTCATTTCTTAGTTTTCCTCAAGAAGAGAACACCATGTATTTGAATAAACAAAATTATAAGTGATGTAGTGACCCTAAATCAGAGTTAAGTCGTATTTCGGTTTTTATAATTATCGATTCTGCTATGATGACCGATAATTCTAGGGATTACATAATGACTGTCCGTAAATCAATAGCGTGATTTGCGCGAAATGCCTCCATCAAAATAAGGAGTGAAAATTGTTAACAAATCTTTCAAACACATTTTAAAAAATAAAGAATGAAAAGATTATTTAGTAGGAATAAAAAATGGGGTTAGGATCATGGGCAGATAGCTTAGTATCCAGACATATGTTCCAGGAGAGGTTGGATATTTTTGGCTCGCATATGTCAGGAGCGATGGACTCATTCGAATATGTGTTTCAAAGTCAAGACAAATCTATTGTTTGGTTGAAACGTCACGGAAAAAGTACTCGTTATACAAAATTGAGAGGATGACATAATTAATGTGCTCAAATTATTTTAAGAAACTGAATCTTTCACTTAAAGGTAACTTAACAAATACAAGTAGTTTGAATTTAATGCAATCATCTTCTTTATAAAAAAAAAGTAATTTGACTAGATATTGGGTAGATTTTAGATTAAAAAAATTAAGAATTGAGCGAGTTAGGACGGAACAAAGCGAAAGGAAAATCATACCTACCTGTTTCACCCAAAAATAAACCACTCAAGATAAATAGCTTAAAGTAAATCAAATCAAGATTATCATTTCCAAAATATATATGGCTGATAAATTAATGTTGCGCAATTACAATTAAGTCATCAATTATAGAACAAAAGGGAAAATGCAGAAGAGGAGTAAGTGGTTACCAACTAGGCCTACTAATATTGCTTTCGAAAGACATGTTCAACTAATTGCGGATTTCAATTCAAAGGATTTCCCTCCAACTTCCAGGCCACGGTCCTCTACTTATTTCTGAAAGCAACACCAACTATTATGAAAATGAACTACCCAGCTAAATTAAATACACAGAAATGAAGCCGCCTATGACCTAACCTAATTACTATCAAAAGGATTAATACATGTAATTAAATTCAATTTTCACCACCAACGCCGTCAACTGTCTTTGTTAATTGAATAAATTAAAATGCTTTCTTGTGTTGGGTATATTATTTTATTGTTATGGTGAAGTCTTTGTTGATTGGATTCAAAGACATTGTTTCCCGTTGTATATAATAATGCCCTAACAGAAACATTGTTGTCCAATTTCATTGTATGCAAAGCGAGAAAATGACGTTGTAGCTTGCTAGCAGATTCTCCTAGATGTATGATGTATCCAACATCTCATAACAAATATTTGTGGGAAAAAAAAAATAAAATAAACCTAAGCAACTTGGTTTCTAGTCATGTATATATCAAAGAATTGGGAACAATAGAGCGGTTATATTATAAATGAAAATGTCAACCGATTACTTGAGTAGCAAATTAACTTACATATCGAAGATTATGTATCATTAATTTTAGGCATCAATTTTATAGAATATCTAAATGTTTAATACGTTGGTAAAATTAATTCCTATTACATGGGTTGTAGTTTTCCTGTCAACAATCCAGCAAGCGACAATGCAGCAGCAGCAGGAGGCGTAATAAGAACACACGAAGGATTATACTATGTATTTGTTCGTGTGGGTTAGTTGTAAATGATTAAATTATGGAGTCCAATACTCAAACCTGTAAAAGACTAAATGGGTGGATACATAGTCTAATTAGGGTTTATATATGAATTTTAGCTAAAACTCGTGTACAAAGAAACTTGGAGTTTATAGTCTCTAATACACCAAACACCGAACAACACACATATTCTCCTCATGAAAAATACGTGAGCGCGAGTGGAATAGAGAAAGCTTGGTTTAAAAAGATACTCAAACATAATAGCCTATTATTTCTTTCACATTGATTTTGTTTCTCTTTTCTTGGTCACAAGTTGTACTGTTAGTACTAGCTAGTGGCGATATATTTTAGTTGTGACGATGATATGCATGTGGGTGAGTGAGGCTGATGAGTGAGGCTGATGTTTGTTTTGCTACCGAAAGTGACATTTGCCGAGAAAAGGTGCAGGGAAAGTGGCAACTCTAAGCTCTCACGTTCCCCTAGTAGCTGAACTTACAGCTGGGTTTCATATCAGACTGGGTACTAGTGTACTACTAGTCAAGGTTCTAAAAGGCGCTAGGCGTAGGGCAGGCGCTCGGCTCCTGACTTGCGTCTTGCCTGATTAGGTGTAGTCTAGGCGCGCCTAGGCGTTTAGAGCATAAATGGAAAAAGTTCTCAAATATTTCCTGTTTTCTGGAATAATTCATATAATCCAAGTGCATATAAAATTAGCAATGCCTAGTTCTTAACAGTAAACACTTAACATAACAAATAACAAGCAAATAGTGACCACTTCCTAAAATCACAAGTTCATAAAATGTCGAAATACTAAACCATAGTCAATAAGTTCATAGGAAAATGTTCATTCTTCATCATCCAAGTAGGTCCGTCAAGCCACCACTTCATCATCCTCAAAAGCAATCTCCTCACCATCCTCCTCCTCTTCCTCCTCTTCAGACTCTAATTCTTCATCATGGAGCTCTCTCACTCGTGCACTCCTACGAAGCTCACTCTGTTCACCCGCCATTGCATCTGTACCAGTACTCAAGGGTGCACAATATGATTCCTCATCCTCATCTACGAATACATACATAGCATGGTCATCCCTTCCCGTGTTTCTGATTTTCTAGGGCAAGAGGCAATTTAATGATTTTCTAGGACAAAACAAAGAGTATTGGGTTTAACCGCCTAAGCTTGTCTAGGAACGCCTTCTCTCCACTAGGCGCAAACTAAGCGCTATTTCTACCTACTAAGCGCTACCATCACCTTTTACAACGCCTATGGCCAAGTCAAGGCGATCCTCCACCGCCTAGCACCTAATTGAGCCTAGGCGTGCGCCTAGGCACGCCTTCTTGAACCCTGCTACTAGTACTAAACTAGCCAGGAAGAAGAGAAGCCCTCCCCCTCCTTTTTCTCATATTTGAACTCACTGTCATAAACCTCTTCATACACAATCCACTAATTACTCATTAGTGGAACTTTAATTCAGAAAATTTGCTCTCATCTCTCTCTTCCTTTCCTCTCGCTTCTGAAGCTCCCCGGGGCTGCCGCCGGCATCTCTTGGTGACCGGCGGTAGCCCACCCCCTTTTTCTTTCTTCCTGCTACCTCCCTTTAATTCCCTGTCTATGTTTTTTATGTTTTCACTCTGCTTTCAAGCTTTTCAAGCCATTCTTGGCATTTCGCTCCCCTGTTCTAGGGTTTTTTGCTGGGATTTGCTCTCCTTTGGGGCTGGGTTTTGCATCTTGGGTCTTCTCTCATGATGGTTGGTTTAACATCTTTTGTGGTGAATCGATTCTCTGGTTTTCCCCTTCGCTCTTCCCAGGTGGTTGTTCTGCATCTAGGTGGCCGACGGAGGATGGATTGCAGAGTCTAGCCTTGCTGCTCGTGGGTTCAGTTCTTTGATCGGGGGATCTGGGTTCTTCTGCTTCCCTTGTCCAAGTCTTGGAGCCTCGTCTTCCCCTGCCTCTTCAGCTCGGAGCATTTTGATCCTCATCTCTGTCCACCGCCATGTAATCTCTCACCCGTGATTCACTGTGTTGAGCGTCTTCGAGCGACTCCCAGGAGGCGGCTAATGACATTGTGATCAATCGTCATGAACTCGGTCGGATCGGACGAGCTGTTTGCGCTTGGTGCTACTTCGTTTGTTTTGATTGCAAGAGAGCTTTCGGTGTATACTGATTTTGGTTCAAGTGTTTCAGATCCTTTGTTGGATGACTCTTTCTCGGTTGTGTGCTCTTCTTGTTGTATCTCTGAAGCTTTGATTGAGCATCTATGTGCTTTTGTTTCTCTGTCCTTGTTCTATTTTTGGTTTGCTTTGTGGGTTCTCTTGTAATCGATCATTCAAAGTGCAATGCAAGTATCCCTTTGTCAAAAAAAAAAAAAAACTCATTAGTGATCCATCTACTTCTTAGAGTGCACATATATCTTCCAAGAATTACGGGTGACAACACAACCACTGAACGGTACAAATGATTTTATCTTGTTTTGTACATTTTATGTTATGTTAACATGGGCATGTGGCACATCGGTTGGTCTCTTCATAATAGTGCACCTACTTCAGAATAATTTTTTAAAAACGAAAAAAGAAAGTAGAAGATGACAACAGGCTACAAAAATGGAGAAAAACAAATTCAAACAAAAAAGTCAAAACCGACTTATATAAAAAGTCAAGAAAAGAGCACCCAAAAATGAAAGAGGAAAAAGAAGGAAAAAATTTGATACAACGACGACAGAAATTTACTCACCCTATTTCAGAATATTAGTTTTTTTTATTGTATAATGTGGGTGATCATTATCCAATTCACAGATGTCAATGTTCAAACTCTTATATCCTCCAATACTATCAGAAAAATAAAGGAAGATGAGCTCATCTCAGATTCCTTATTATGAAGTGCATTCAATATTCCTGGTAATTAGAGTAGTAGGAAGGAGTTGGCAATTGGCAGATTGGCTCAACAAGATTGAGGCCCTGCAGGATGACAATGGAAACTGGGTGACAGATTCTCAAACTCTGGCTTCTCTTGTTTTTGATTTTTTTACTAACACGTTCTTGCAGGATGACTCCCCTTATGACGACAGACTCCCCAAGAATGTGTTCCCTCGTTTATCCCAAGCTGATGTGGCGGCTATGTTCCGACCTTTCAACATCATGGACATCCACAAAGCCATCTTTGACATGAAACCGTTCCAGGCGCCCGGGCCAGATGGGTTTCATGCAGCCTTCTTCCAACATTTTTGGAGTGTGGTGGGGAAATCCCTTTCAGATATGGCCATCTCTTTCTTTTTGACAGGTTCCCTTCCAGAGGCAGTAACGGAGTCCACTCTGGTTCTAATCCCCAAAGTGGAAGCCCCTGAGAGAGTGAACCAGCTCAGGCCGATATCTCTCAATAATGTTTGCCTCAAGAGTATTACAAAGGCCATGACCTGCAGACTGAAGCCGATTATGAAGAAGCTGGTGTCTCCCAGACAGAGCAGTTTCATTCCAGGTCGTCAGACTACTGACAACATTATTGTTGTTCAGGAAGTTCTCCACTCCCTCCGGAAAAGAAGGGGCAAAAAGGGGGGCCTTGTTTTCAAAATTGACCTCGAAAAGGCGTATGACATGCTCAGGTGGGATTTCCTTAGGGATACGCTTAAGGAGGTTGGGCTGCCGAGCACCTGGATTAGCTGCATCATGTACTGTGTGGAGCATAACATGATGAGGATCAGATGGAATGGCGAGCTATCCCAAGCCTTCACCCCGTCGCGTGGAGTGAGACAGGGAGACCCCCTCTCGCCTTATCTTTTTGTTTTATGCATGGAGCGATTATCTCACAGAATTGATCAGGCGGTTTCCGAAGGAAAGTGGAAGCCTATTAAGCTCACTAGTACCGGGCCGCCCCTGACACATCTTTTCTTTGTAGATGATCTCCTTCTGTTTGCAGAGGCAGAGAAGCGACAAATCCAGGTGGTGAAGGAGTGTCTTGCTGACTTCTGCTATAGTTCGGGCCAGAGGGTAAACTACAATAAGTCTATCCTCTTCGTGTCCCCGAACATAGCCAGGCGGAAAGCAGAACAGTTGAGTGCGCAGGCAGGAATTCCTCTGAAGGCGGCTTTGGGAAGATATCTCGGGATACAGGCTATCCAGGAACGAGTGAATAAAGGGAGATACCAGCCCTTACTGCTTTGAATTCAGAAAAAGATGGCGCCTTGGAAAGCCAAACGACTTTCCTTTGCGGCCCGTCTCACTGTGGCTAAATCTGTTACTGCATCCTTGCCTGTTTACACAATGAATACTGAACTAATCCCAAGCAGTGTTTGCAGGAACATCGACAATATCACCAGAGACTTCATTTGGGGGGACGAGGAAGATCGGTCCAGGATGCATCTTGTGGCATGGGATAAGTTGACGATGGCAAAGGGACAAGGAGGCATCGGTCTCAGGCCAACGCGGCAGGCTAATCTGGCCATGCTGGCCAAGAGTGGTTGGCGACTGATCCAAGAAAAAGAGAATATGTGGTCTCAACTCTTGATTTCTAAATACGGAGGTCGGCGACAGGGTCTGGAGATCATCCAGAAATCTCAGGGAAGTTCCTTCACCTAGAGCAGCTTCTCGAAAGCTGCCGGCTTGCTCAGGCAAGGCTGTGCGTGGAATATTAAGAATGGGAAACGTACTAAGTTTTGGTTGGATCCGTGGGTGTTGCAGGTTCCACTAAAAGAGAAGGCGATTGGTGCCATCCCGGAGGAGTTGGAGTCGGCAGCAGTAGCTGATCTTGTTCGAGATGATGGCAGCTGGTGCATTGAGTCTTTCCAGGACCTGCTCCCGCCTGAGGTCTGTGGAAAGATTTTGAGCACAGCAGTCGACAAGCTGTCGAGAGAGGAAGACAAGCTGTTCTGGTCAGCGACGGCGGATGGGCGATTCACCTGCAAGTCAGCCTATGACCTCATCACCGGTCAATGTCAGCAGCCTAGAGATAAGATTTGGGATACCATCTGGCGGCTACCGGTTCCGGAGCGAGTTAGAAGCTTTGTTTGGTTGGTCATGCAGGGGAGAATAGTCACCAACTCGATGAGGTTTCAAAGGAAGATTGCTCCCTCTCTGTCATGCCTGCGGTGTCCTGATAGGCCGGAGACCATAATTCACATTCTGAGAGACTGCGGCCCAGCTCTCTACTTCTGGTCAAGACAAGTGCCGCAACAGTATCAAGCGGTTTTTTTTGGCAGAAATCAAGACTCTTGGCTTCGGGACAACCTTAACAGTGATAGGGAGTCCCTCTCAGGTATTAACTGGCCGGCTTTTTTCAGCATGGCCATCTGGCTTCTTTGGAAGAACCGTTCGACAGCGGCCTTTAAGGGAGTCGGGGCGGCGCTGTCAGCTCCCTCTCTGCTTCACTCCATTACAGCCAAGTGCAAAATGTGGAACGAGTCCTGGCATGCCCCGATCCCTTTTTCGAGTTCGAAGAAACAGCAGGTGGTGCGCGTCTCTGCGGAGATCGGATGGAGCTACCCTCCCTTTGGGTGGGTTCAGGTTAACACTGACGGGGCCTCAAATGGCAACCCGGGGCCGGCTGGGGCTGGAGGACTCATCCGTGATCACCAGGGGCGCTGGATGGGAGGGTTCATGGCTAATATCGGTACGGCAACAGCAGGGCTAGCTGAGCTTTGGGGTATTTATTATGGGCTAGAGATCGCTTGGAAGCTTGGGTTCCGAGCGGTCAGGATTGCTTCGGACTCTCAGTTAGCGATTCAGTTAATTCAGAATCGGATTGACCCTATCAATCCTTATGCTACTCTGCTGGGGCTGATTCGCAGGAAGTTGAGTCTGGATTGGTTGGTCTACCTGTCTCACACTTACCGGGAAGGGAATAGAGCCGCGGACTGGCTCTCGAAGCACAGTCTTGTCTATCCCTACGGTATGCATGAGTTGGCAGATCCACCAGCAGGCATCGGCCAGATCCTAAAGGAAGACTTTAGGGGCATTACTTTTGAGCGCCGAGTTGTGGCGAACTCCTCTATCTTCTCTTAACCTCTGTGTTCTCATTTCTTCTTCTTGGCCTTTAGCCTCCTTGCAATGCAAAAAAAAAAAAAAAAAAAAAAAATTGGCAGATTGGAACTTGGAAGAGAAAAACAGGGGACCAGTTTATCCTCTCTATTATTGCTGGACTCTATCTTAGTTGACATAAACAAGTAGGAATTTTCAGGTTAGATCATTCATTATACTGAACCATCCATCCATCCACCCTCCATCTATCTCCTGGATTTGATTCCTTCTTCTTATTCCTTTCATCCATTTAAGTGGCTGTCTGGTACTGAACTGAAGAAGATCTAGGGAACGTGTGTCCATGTGATTGGCAGTGGTCCTTCTTAGAAGACAACAACACTACACACACCTCCACTTTACACCCAAATGCTAAACAAAAGATTCTCCCCTTCCTACATGGATTGCGTTGATCGTGTCATTCCAAATGCATATATGAGGCTTGTAGCTAGCCTAAGAAGGAATATTTTCTTAAAAAAAAAAGGAATATTCCACCCTTACGATCTCATCAACAAGGCACGAAAGTCAACAAAATCGTCATCGAAATGGTTAAGGTTTATAGAGTCATATAAACATGATAACGTGAACAACATATATGAGCCTAGTAGCATGAGTTATCCATCGTTGAAATGGCCCCAGCTACCATAAACGGCAGGTTTGAATTCGTCCTTCTACAACCCTTTTAATGATCTCTAATAAGTTGTGCTTTCGAATCCTCCATTCTCATAAATTTACTAGTTTTTTTATGAGAAATGAGGTAATTACTTCAAACAAATGTTTTGAACTCCAATCATAAAAGGAAAACAAGAGAATAACTCGGCTGGCAAACCAGTCGATTAGAGGAGGGTTCTTCTTGTCACAATCACGAGATGATTTTTAAGGCCTAGAGCTAGGCTGGTCTAATAGTAATATGACCACAAACAATGAAAAAATTGACCAATTCTTATTTGATATTTCACCAACACATACAGCTAGCTACCTTTCACTTCTCCATTCCCTTACCTTATTTGCTCCCTTTATGTCCAAACTCCGCGGCTGCATGGGCCGCACGGCCCAGAACATCCGAGACCCAGACCGCACCCTGGGCGAAGTAAATGCTGTTCACCACCGCATGGGCTGCGGCAGCCGCGGTCCGGCCCGTGATGGTGGCAGCAGTCACAGCTGCCGCTCCCGTGTACAGCACCGCCGTCTTGGTGATGTCCGACACGTGGTACTTCTCGTCGATAAATCTCGCAGTCTCCATCCCTGATTGTATCGACTCCGTCAGCCCAATTCTGCTGCTGAGCTCGGCCACTTTCGCTGCAGCAACAGCTGACACCTTGTGGGACTCGTCCAGCGCTCTGGCCTTCACCAGCGCGTCTTTCCCCAAGACGTATCCTTTTGCCAGCATCGTTTTCACCACTTCTTGTGCCACTGTCACGGCTTCCCCTGGGCTGGAAGCCAGGTGGTTCACATGATGAGTTGCCTGTGGAGATTAGAGAAGTCTGATTGTAAGATTAAGGGAACAAAAGTAATTGTAACGAGATGAGTGTTACTTAAAGGCAAAACCTCATGGTAAGCTGAAGCTCTGCCTTCAGGTTGCCAGGAAGGGCTGTTCCAAGGATTGTCAGATTCATATATCTGGGTGCCCCAAAGTGAAATGCACACAGGTTGATCTGCAATTCTAGCTCCCTGAAGGAAAAGAGTGACATTAGACAAGATTGAACTATTAGACTGATGGGAAAGCAGGAAGATATATAGATGGCTTGGCTAACTAATTGTCACTATATTGCAGAATGCATACAAATTACATACCATATAAAGAGAACAGGCAAAAGAAACTAGCAGTAAAATAGGGATTTGAGAGAATCATCCGCATCAATTATATATGTTTTTCACTGTCTGCAACATGCAAATTGGAACTTACGCTGAGGAGGATGGCAGTTTCAAGAGCATAGGCATCTCTAAATGTCACATAGGCAGTGCAAGCGTATTCGCCAGATCTGTGTCCAGAAATAACTCAGCATATGTTAACAACGCACCAAATATGCAGTGCAATAAGGGTAAAGCAGACTCCAAAATGTCTCCAGTAGCATATGCTGGAATCCGCGATTAAAAGCTCCAACAGCAGAATAGGTGCTTAAGTGACAGTTGAGCCGGAATCGGATAATCCATCGCATGAAGAAGCATTGTGATTCTACTCAATAGGAATTCAATGCATGAAGTAGCATTTACCTGATGATTTCAATGTTCTCAACTGTACCACAGTGAGTGAAGAAATCATGGACATCCTTCTCTGTTGCTTTATGAGACAAGCTTGTTACTTCAATTGTGTACCCACCACCAGGATACATGTTTGCTGAAACCGAAACCTGTGGATTGGATCAAGAGGTGCAAATAGTATACTATACATAAGCAACCTTACTATACATTTGCAAAGAAAATGCCAATTTTGGGTGGAGGAGATAAGGTAAAGCCAGAGGAAGACATAAATAATAGAATTGTCATCCCAAGGTCAATGATTTCCAGTGGTCCTTCGTCTCATCTCATCTCTGATCAGGGCTAGCTTTGATTTTTTATAAGAAATCACCAAATTCTGCCTGTCTATATGATCTCTTAGGGAATGCAGCTTACTCTATGAAAGACAGAGCAATTTGGTAAGATAGTATGGGATCCCTGTACTAGTTTATCTCTGCAATCCCATAGATCGCCGTTGTTCATCCCAATAACAATGTTTGCAAACCTTGAGCAGGTGGCCGTAATTAAGCATGGAGCGATGGGAGGCTCAAAGATTAAGCAAAAAACAGTGATAAATCATAAAAATACTCTTACTTTTTCAACCAGAGCAATCTTTTTATCAATTTTGATTTTTGAGGCAACCCAAGAAGCTTCCCGCTTATCCAGAGCAGGATTTGATGAAACTATTTCAGCAAAGATCGAAAGTGGAAAAAACACGAAAGGGGTTTCACTTTCACATAGCAGAAGCCAGAGAAGAAAAGCAGAGCTGCAGAAAAGTCAAAATCAGCTGGTTGATGGATACAGAACTTACCCGCCAAAATCAAGCGGGCCGCGATTTTCAGAGAGGAGGAAGAATCGGGACTTCTGGAGGCGAAGCTTTGGGAATTGGGACCTAAGCCAATGGAATGGAAGGATTAGATTACAGTGGCTGGCTAGTGGGGCATAGATTGCTTGCTTGCTATTTGGGATTTGGCTTAAGCTGTGAACCTGTGACTGTGAGTAACCAACCGGGTATCCTGACTAAAGATACAATAAACCTATCCCACGCGCAGCCAGTTTTCTATCCACACGCGCGGGTATAAAAAGAATATAAAATGATAATTATGTTAAATTACCGAACTTATAAAATGATAATTATGATATCTCAATGAGTATAACTAGGGCTGGGAAAATAGACCAGACCGTTAGAAAAAACGTGGTCCAAACCATACCGCACAGTTTGGTCCGGACCGTAGACCGTTAAGTATGGTCTGGTCTGGTCCATGGGCTGTATTATTTTATGTTTTGATCTCTTGGTCTGGTCTGGTCTGGTCTAGACTGCAGTTTAACGGACCAAACCGTGGACCTAACTGACTTGTCAATACGTATTAACAGCCCATTCGACTACTCTCCCAACTCCCAAACGACACCCAAGTCTCAACCTTAGTTTTGTGAATCTCGTCCCTCCTTCATTCACAACCACATTTAACGAGAGAGTAGACATAATCGTGTCTCCATATGATATTATGTTAATGTTTATGACGTTATGATGCAAGTTGGGATGCTTTTACTTTGTATCTTTGTTATGTACTAAGATTTAGAGTATCAAAATTATTTGTGCATGTTAGGATTAATGTTTTAAGGAAAATAACAATATTTTTCTTTGTTATTGGTTCAATTTTTTGTGTGCTTGACTAAGCAAATTATTCATTTTTCGTTGAGTGTGGTCTATCTGGACCAGACCAGACCGCATAGGCGTGGTCTGGACCGGACCGTATAGTATGTGGTCTGGTCTGTGGTCTATACTTTAGCCTCTCGATCTGGACCATAGACCGTATATATGGTTTGGTCTGGACCAGACCGCACCGTTTCCCAACGCTAAGTATAACTATGCTTTAGACTACAAAATCGCGTATTTTTTAGTGTATTGCTAAAGTATTTATTTGGTCATGACTAATTTCTTGATACAAGTAATTGTGTTGATCATAAGGTCTAAGTTTGCAACCGAATAATCAGCTCGCTTATTCTAATACATTAACCCATTTTCTTGGGCTCACTTTGCTGGCCTGGTTAATCGCTCTTGGTCTTGGACTCTGTTGATCCAGGCCGGCCTGGCTCATGCATTCTTTGGTCTTTACATTCAAAACTAACTTTACAAGGCAACCTTTTGACTTTTCTGGCCGACAAGGCCTTAACGAAAATCCACTCATTCACTTCACTTTGTTGATCCATCAACTAGGATTGGCCCAGCTTAATTATAAGGCCCAATTGGAACATACAGGCTCATCCGGACATCCACCCAATTTCATTTTAACTTGAGTTTGTCAGGATTAGAGGTGCGCAATGGAGCACAAAAGTTTCAGAATGATTTTGAAACAATGGAGCACAAATTTTTTTTTTTTTTCTTTTCCGTTTTACGCTATGTTTTGATAATTAGTAGATGAGATGATTTTGGAGAGTACATTTTATATGTTTTGCTACGATACTAATACAAGTGGACAAATATTTCATTGTAAGAAGAAGAAGAAAAATTCATTTAAACAACTCATATATATATAACCTCTCATACAGACAAACAATACATTATATATAGAATACCGGACAGCCATACAACTTTACGTTTCAACTTCCTGCATATTCAGCCGACTATGATGAGCAAAAGTGTCCATTTCCCCCCCTACGTTTTCCACTTAATAAAGAACTACTCATTATATATAAATTATAACAAACGTGATTAATCAGTCTCTTATGTTGACTGGGAATATCGTGGATTGGTTTAAAACTGACTTCATCGATTTGTGTATATATATGTGTTGCATGATAAAGTCCACCATGATATACAAAATCAGAAAAGCTACAATGATATCAGTCTCGAGATGCCTTATTCCAAATCAAACAAACCCAAAACAAAATTTCATAAACGGAAAAAAATTAAAGAAGAAAACCAGAACAGAATCATTGAAACCTATCTAACTGCTAAATAACAGTAAACCGCTCCCGTGGGTCTAGCTTCTCGACAAATGGCGACAGTCGCTTTTTTCTTTCTCCTTTATGGATTTCCTGATCCATCGGAAAGCTAGCAACCAAAAAAGTCAGGCTTCAGCTGCTGCCATGAGAAACACAACACTCCAAAGTCCAAATTAAAGTAGAGCCTTCTATATGCAAAGTTCGCGAAAGTAGTACGAAAGGAGGAGGAAGAGAAGAAAGAAGATACAGAAGATCGAGAAGGCCAGTTTACGTTCCGACAGCCGCAAATTGAGGAGCAAATCTTGTAGTCGGCCGGGACAGTCCAAACCAACGATACAGGAAAATACCTTTTCTTTATCCCTAAGCGTTGGTGCCTTGTTTCTTCTAGCTAGCTAGTTACTTAATTACGCACTTCAGTTCATTACTGGTGAATGAACGTTGTTGATGATGATGAATTATTAAGGAGCGGTTGATGTTTTTCCATGTCCCCTCTTCCCGCTCCTCTTCCAAATCCCATCAAACTTTGCAGTCCAACTCGGTCCATCACCTCATTCAAAAATCTGCCATACAATTAAACGGTTTGTTGACATGCTATTAAACTTTTTTATTGAGTGGTTTTGGTGTTCGAATCATGATGATCCACGAGGTACATACGAATAACATGTGCAAATCTTAATATTTCATTATTTGATTTTCATTTGATTAGCGGCAACATGTAAGGGAATTATATAGATTTCTCTATTGACAATATGCAAATTGGACCGTGTGGTGCAGGGGCGGACCTAGGGCACGACACCCCTCCGCTCGAAAATTTTGTGAAGAACCTCCATTTTTTCGGTACAAAATTTTTTAATTTGGAACTTCCGACACCGCTCTAATAATTATAAGCGACACACTTTCATTATATGACAATAGTTTTAATGTTATAAAGTTATTCGTCATAATTAGTAATTAACAATAATAAGTAAAATCAAATAAGCATGCTTGTTTTAAGTAACCCACAACCCAATTTAACTTATTGATTTGTAGTTAATAGGTGAATTGCCTATATTTATGAGAGATTGTGGTTTGATTTTGGTTAATTTGATAGAACTAGAGAAAAAATGTTAATGATATTACTTAGGCATACTTTGTTTTTTCTAAAATAGCCGATTGGTAGCAAACTAATTTATTTTAATTTAATTTGATTTTAGACGTAGGTCGATTCTCTTTAGTTGAGTGACTAATTTATGAATGATTATGTAGTTGTGTATATCGAAAAAGGTTTGATTTGCAACATAAACGATGAATGTATTTTAAAAAAATCTCAAATATGAAAAATCATCATAATTCGTAGTAAACATGAGGTTGTGAACTTATAAATAAATTTCCAGTAATTTCTATTAAATTTTTATTTCATTATCTTAATTATTATAATTTTTATCGACGACACCCATCTTCAATAATCCTGGGTCCGCCACCGGTGTGGTGCTATTGTGTCTTCTCTATACAATGACGAAGATATGATTTTTAGTGAGCGGGGCATATGAGACCCCTCAAGACAAACTAGATTTACAAATATTTGCAAAATTAATTGTGAAGATGGAAAATAGAACAATTTGGTAAGGAAATGACCACCACCTCCTCTCCAGTGAGATGTGCTTAGCTAACTACCAAGGTACCGGCCGGTACCCATTGAGCTTTGTATTTTGACATCCATTCATTAAGGATTCTGACTCCGTTATTATCTCTGTATATAACTTGGCGAATTTTTAAGTCCTTAAAAATGACTTTTATTTGAAGAGACAAAGCAAGAAATGATTATTTCAAATATCATACTCTTACTGAGCGGTTCGAGTTATTGTGATGAATTAATGAGTTTTTGACAATCTCTGAAATGGACCTGTTGTTAGTAAATTGTATAAGATTCATTTGAACTTCTATCCATGGCTCGAGTTATTGAGACTAACTAGTTCTCAACATGATCTCAGAGCTTTCGATGACCAAAAGATACTGTGTTCGGAGTTTGGACCTTGATAACCTTCATTTTTGTTTTAGAGGGTGTATTAGTAAAATTGTATAAGATTCATAACTGATACAATCGTGTTGGTTGTCGACAACAATCAGATTTTCTTTGTGCCTTTTGAAAGGTAAAGTGTTGGTTATTACAAACAATCGTGTTGTCAAGAAGAACTCGTTCATCTCAAACTATTCAAGTTATTTCAATAAAATGATTGTTTGCTCGATAGGAGAGTCTTTGGCTGATAGACTTTGTGTTGAAATTCATATCAAGAACTTTGTTCATCTCAGTTATCCAAGTTATTGGAATAAAATCATTATTAGCCTTTGATTAATAGAATTTGTATTCAAATTCTTGCAACCTCTCTAGTTTTTTGCTGCCATAACTCGAACTCAAGACTTCGTGATATTCAAGCTTGTGTCTTCGTTACCAATCTGACCAACCCATTATTATTAATTTTATATTATAGTCGTTGTGGAGAAAGGTTTTGCCACGTAGGACAAAGAAAACTCCACAATTTTTCATGTCATTTATGATTTTAACATTTTAAGTTATTAATTACATTAAAGTAAAACTAAATAAACATGTATACCAATCATGATGACCTAGATTTGAACATGTGACCTATCAGATAAACCTATAATCATTTCAAGTGTTCAACCACTAGGATAAAGTATATTTGATGCTATTAATCACAACAAAACATGTATATCAATCACCAGAACTAATATTTAATCATGCAACCTAAGAGCTCAAACTGTAATAATTTAAATTAGTTAACCAATAGAATAAAATCTCTTTGATGCAAGTAATCACAAATTAATACTCATGTTATAAAAAAATGTATAACACATAACATTCTATTTTTATTTAATGGCTGACTTCTGTATATTACACAACAAAAATTATCACGATTAAAATTTTGTATTCTATTTTTCAGCAATGATAGAAACCATTAACAACTAGAATAACCAATTTTAATTTTTAGTTTATAACATGTTTGATAATTTTTTAAAATTAATTAAAAAATCCAAAAAACCTGATTTACACATTTATAAACTCTTACATAATTTGAAATGTGATTTTCTTACTACTCCAATTTCTTAAATTTATAAACGATTCCAATTTTTTTCAATTTTTATTTTTATATGTGATTATATTTTCTTTCATGCGCAATTATAAAACACATTTCCTTTACTTTTTTCCTGATGTACTTATAATTCATTTCTTTTCTCTTTTTATTGGTTGACATAAGCCCATTTATTTGTCCAAAATGAATGTAGATGCACAACTTTAAGATATGTTTAGATGCATAGCACCTAAATTAAGCAAGATTTCTTAACGAATCTTAAGCTATTGGATATATATATAATGGTTGAGATGTAAAGAACTATTTTAATCCTTACTTAATGTGACACCCTAATACATATATTACTATTTGTGGCATACATCGTACCTTGGTTATAATCTAGGACATACCCTGAGTAGGAAAACACTATTAAACCCCGAATTAATCGAATTTTTGTGCATGATACCATACTCTAACGGTCTAACCCTTGATGAGTAAACCCTAGGTCTTAGATACCTAAATCATATAGCCTAACCCATAAGATTGTGCACTTAATTTTTTGCATATATTTCGACGAATCATGACCATCGATTTTTGTTTGTAATTAAATTGATCTTATGAGATGATTTATAGAATCAAGACCTAGAATTTAATCTTTCACGGATTTGGAATAGTACCTGATGCCGAACTCCGATCAATTCAAGGTCTACATATCATTTTCTTACTACTCAAGGTATGTCATACCTTTGATTTACCCAAGGTACGATAGAACCACCCGTTACTATTACTATTTTTAGTAACAAGTTATACTCGCCGGATAACCCCACTCATAAGTTATACCCGATATGTTGTATCTCAATCAGTCAAATAAACATCCATTCATCACCACATGCCATACACATGCATCATCTCAAACTTAAGGAATTCATATATTCACAACATAAGGCCATCAAACAGTCTCTTGATAACTCATTGTATAAATATGTATTCACCAAGTATCACATCATACTGGCATCACCATGTAACCATGTCCCAACATAGCAAAACATCACACCATCTAATGGTAAATCATTGTATAAAACACCAAAGAAAACCATCACATAACCATCATCATCGACATGAACATTTCGTATATCACATCATAGAAAGTTATTACTTAACCGCGTCATAGTAATCTTTATACAATGATTCAATCACATGTATGGTTAGGTTGATTCAGTGCCCCTTTACTTCTTAATTTTCCAAGTCCTACACTCCTCGGATAGTACAGTAGATGTCCTGTATACCACATCGGATCGTACCTATATTGGTGTCCTGTAAATTCACTGCGGGATCATACCCTGACCGATATCCTATATAAAAGCACGAGACATACCCGGATCGATGTCCTGTAAAACCAACGCGGGATCATACCTTCAACGATGTCTTGTAAATTCATCTATTGTACTGATTGCACAATAGAGCGCCTTTATATTTGTATTAAGTTATCAAACAATTCCTGTTACAGTCAGTCACACATTAATGTGAAGCGAAGCCAAAGTGTCTCTATAACTAACATTTTGTTTTGATATCATTCATAAAATGTTGAAGGTAATATAGAAGCATAGCATCATAGTTTGGTTGTACTTTAATATAATAGTAGAAAAAGATAGCGAACACTCGAGGTGTAATATACACCTTGATTCACATCTATTAGTTGTACTTTAATATATTTTGTCAAATAAGAATCGGTGGTTATTATTTTTGCATTCACGAATCGTAAGATTTTAATTGGAGAATTAGAGACTGAAGTTCACCCATTAGAAACTATGGTATAGTATCATGTCCAAACTCCGTTAATATATACATGGTCTAAATAGCAAAACTCGATAGGAGTACGGTAAGGTGGCGTATGCTAGCTTAAACCACGTACAACTTATGAAGTTAAAAATGATTGGTGAATCAAAGATCGGATGGTCATGAATACTATTTTTCAAGCGGTGATGAAGTTACAACGTTGTTTGACATTATTGTTGATCATGATTAAAATCTGGATCATATTAGATGAAACACTGATAAAAAAATGACAATAATAAATAAATATAAAAATTAGGAATTTTATACCATTAGAAGAAATTACAGATAATAGAAGAAAAAAGTACACATAGGAAATTCGCCGCTCATCGGGCGGGCACAAAACTAGTTAGATCTACCTGTAACTTGCTGTATAACCAGCCAATCACACTGCAGCTTATTAACTCAACTTTTGATAGGAGACAATGGCCCTGGAGTAGGTACGTACGTAGCATTTGGAAGGCCAGGGAGCTTATTGGTTTGCAAATAATGCTCATAATTATTTTGGATGTTTCCACTTTACATATTTTCTAGTCTGACGAATCAACAACCATCTTTAAGTTGAACTACTAACAGTTGATCCATCCATCGATGGACCAGCCCAAAAATTATTCAAAACTTTCATTATTCTATTTCCTCCCATTCCTTTTCAGCTTGATGTGGGGATTAATTGACCAATGCAAAACTGAACCAATCAATCAGCTGAATTGATCCCATTAACATTGCTAACAATATCATTAGCCTTTTTTGTGGTTAGTCGTCTTAAGCACGAATTAATGATAATATAATATGATTAGTACGTTCATGAATTAAAGTTCAAAGCCCTGTCTGTTCTGTTTATATTGCAGATCATAGGGTTGATGGAAGGTCTCTATCAGTTCCCTCCATGGAGGAACTTAGGCGCAGGTGGCAGAAGCTTTAGGCTATGTCACTATGTTTTCTTTCAGTTTATGTAATTATCTTTTCATTTTTCTGATTTGGTTTTAATTTTATGCCACGACCTAAAAATAAGCATTTTGGGTATCATGGTCTAGGATCACTAGTCAATTTTGATATGCTCATTCTAGGGAGACATAAAAAATTGGTTTCATATATAGTCTCATGACTAGTTAATTTGCTTATGATAATAATAATGCAAATAACTTCTTGATTTGGATGTAAAAGCGAAAAAAGATAATTTCTACATGAAAAGGATTGAAAATTGTGCCCAATAAGTGTTAGGGCTAATAATTTACAGTTGAAGTATAGAATATTGTAATTTCTTATGGAAGTTAGGACATGATTCAATGGGCTTAGAATATTACAAATTTTGAATATAAAAGACCAAATGAAACCAAGGTGCCTACTCTTATTTTAACATAGTTATAACCAGACAAAAGTCTGATGTCATAGTCAGAGAACAGAACAAATCCACGGGCGGAAGTCGACAAATCGTCGAAATTCCGATGAAAAAGCGTTTTGGGTAACATGGGAGCAGGAACAAAACTCGAGCATCCCTGTCAACCGACGAATATCCTCCAGGAGTGCACCTCCAGTCGAGTGAGAGTCGTCTCCCGCCGAGAGCCGACGAATCACCAAGCGAGAATGGCCATGAAAATTTAAGAAAAAAAACTCTGAGACAAACACCAATATAATGGATCCCGAAATGCCAAGAGATCGGCTACAAATGAGTCATGAATACCTTCATATGACTGCCCCAAAGCAAATAAAACACTCCCAGTAGAGGAAGTCCCCACGAAGGCAATGAGCCTACTCTTTATCCTACTTGTTGTACCGTTGTGTTTTATTCATTTATTTTTTTATAAGCTACCACCCAAGGTTGTCAACCCGCGGGTTGATCCGGACTCGATCGAGTTAGTGGGTCAAGGGTTAACGGGTCACCCGTTTTAGCCTGGAAATATAGAAAGAGTAATTATATTGTACTTATACTAATAAATTATATCAAATCTCATCTAACACATGAGTAATAACATATAACATTACACAAAAGTAACATGTACTTAGATCCAACATATAGTGAAAATTCACACAGACTTATATAACGTCAATATTCAAATGTTCAACTAAGGATTCTAAAGATTGAGTTAGGCGAAAATAAAAATCGGAAAATAAGCACATTTCGCAAACCAAAGAAAAAAATGACACAATTTGACCTCCAACCTGATACGTTGTATCGGTCGACCCGGCAGGTATGTACGACTCATTTATCTTACCGGGTCAGAGTCAAAGTGGGTCGACCCGCGGGTAGAAAACCTTGCTATCACCTTATAAAAAAATGGCATGAATTGAACACCTACGAGAAAAATGGAAGGCTCATACAATATTTCATACAATTCATGAATTAGTAAATACCGGGTCAATATATGTCGGACTAAATTTTAATTAGAACATAGCGTGTAAGCTAATGATTTTGCTTTGGTAATCATGTGTATATTAACAGGGGAATGACGACACATAAAAGAAGTGTACCATATTAAATCTCAAAACAAAAGAAAAAAGACAGCTTTGCCCCTATATGAGGTTATGAGCATCATTCCCTATATGGGAAAGGATATGAAACCAATCCCAAATTCTCTAATAAACCTTAGGCTTATACATAAACAAATCTCTAAGTCCGCTAATTGAACTCTCGATATGTAAATCTACCAAACAAAACATAATTAATAACAAACCTATATGTAGACCAACCGATATTCCATAATCCTCAAATTTGAACGAACGAATCTTTATACCTGCTCACGAAACTTCTCGAACCATATATCTACAAACAAAATACCAACCTAACTGCCAACGATATGATTAATCCAACCAGTGAAACAAACCAAAACAACATAATTCTTCTGGAGATGTATGAAAGTCCTATCATCCCAATCAAAGAACACACACCACAACCACTAACCAATCATTCTCTTATCTTCTGTTACCTATCGCTATGATATATATATATGAAGAAAACTAAAGATAATATTGCTCTGTTGTGGTATGGTAACCACTAACCACCAACCCAAAATTTTGGGCTTTTCCCACTTTTCTTTTACCCCATTGGAATTCAATTTTTTTTACCAGCAACGCATGTAATAATTTGGGTCTTAGATACAATGTCACTTTCACCTTCACCAAACTTGTCTCACACATTTCTGGATGTTGTGTTAATTGGTCACGGGACTTTGTTAGGGAAAGTTTAGTCCCTTTCTCCCTGCTCTCTAGTTGGTCCTTTCACAGGTTTCAAAATTCCTTACATAATTATTTATTTCCTGTGGACGTCAAAATTTGGATTTGATTTATTTTTTTCTTAAAAAATTTATTAATTAATGTGTGTGGAAGATGTCTGCTACACTACAGCTTTGGATGCTATCTCTAACAATTCTCCCATTGGTGGGCTAGAAAAATGCTCTGATGCACCAATGACATTTTTTTTACATAAGTTTCCACAGTTTATTTATGAACAATTTTGTAGTGTTCTTTATGACAATGAAGGGTAAATAGTGGAATAGTTATTCAACCATGGTGAAAAGGGAGAGATGAAAGTCTTGTGGTAAATATTAGTCACAGTTGAAAGAGCATGTGGAAATTATTGTTCTTGTGAGCACCACAAGTAAGTTCTGGTGATTATTATTTATTAGGATTTGAATAGTTCTGGGTTACTCATGTAAATACGTATATGTCCAATTCAATGTTTATTGTGTCATTAGATCTACATTAGTAGCACATAGCATTCACGTTTCTGTTCATACTAAAAAATGAGGTTAGTTAAAGAGCAAAGTTTTCTTTTAACGAATTAATAAATTGCAAAGCAATCTTTCCATCTCTCTGTTTGACAACCAACATATTTCTCATTCTCTTTCTTTCTCTTGTGCTTCTTCCAGCGACCACTCTACAAAATTTTTGGTTTTAAAAAATAAACCTGAAGCTAAGAGAATCAACTTATGAAGTTTTTAGGGTTTTGAATCGAAAAACGTGAGAAAATAACACAAAGAAAAAAAATTTCGTTTATCTAGGTAACATTATTTATGTTAGATACCCATATTTCTTTCCATCTGCGGTTGTGGCCTCTGCTGCCAGACATGGCCATGTTTCTTTGTTCGACATTGACTGCTTTGCTTGCTCTAGAGACCACTAGATCGATTGGACTGCTGCCAACGTGAGCCTGCTACTGCTAGGTTTTTTAATTTTCGTCTAAATTTGTTTATCAAAAAGGTTTCCTGAACCATATATAATTCTTATTCAATTTGATTCTACGAGATTCTGAATTGGAATTACGTGGAATTAATAAAACCTAGCTAGTTAGCCTAATAAGATCATGCATCGTCATCTAATAAGATCAATCATGACGATGATAGCGTAGTCTGAATCTGTGGCTTGGCTTCACGAATAATACAAAATAATTAGGTAGACTGATCCAACAGCAGCAGGTTTCAAGTACGTAATGACATGCACAAAAACAATTGCCCAAATTAATTAATTAGGACCGAGTGGCCTAACTAACAATCATAAATCTGTATGAGCATGACATTTAGCTAAACATCGATCGTGTCTATTTGCCTGCCTGCCTATCCTATCTATCTTATCGAAAAACATGCATGGATCTAAATGAGACGGTTTAGGCTTTGGCCATGAGGCCATTATGCCACTTGATTCCTACTTGCCGACAAAAAAGCACCCTCCTCATTAATATTATTGTTCATATAATTTTTTTTCGACTACTTAAATTCACACTCAGGATTTCATGGGGAAAAAGTTTGCTAGAAGGAAACTATATCAACTTTATAAAATAAAAAAATAAGTATAATGACTATTTATTAGCTAAACCTTTTTTTATTAGTCAAACTTATCGGAATATTAAGAATTAGCCAAACGTTTTATAACACGTTCAAGTAATAGCCATTAATTCATTATCATTAACTATTTTTTAACGGTGCTCCACCTCAGCAATAAATAAAATAAAATTGGGTAAATACTAATTATTAGTCACACCTTACTATCATTCTTTTTTATCAGCCAAACCTATTGAATTACTAATAATTGACCAAATCTTTTGTAATGCATCAAAGTATTAGCCATTTTTACGTTATCGTTAATAATTTTGTAACTCTTTTCTTAGTTAAAATACTAAAATTTTGGAATGTTGACATCCATGTGTCTCTTCCAAGTCAATATCATGTTGCCAAGTCCATATTACTAACAAATTGCTAACTGAAAGTTAACATTTGACTAATTATTAGTAATTCAATAGGTTTGACTAATAAAAAAAAGTGCATAAAAGATGGTCAATGATTGACCGGCTGATGTGGCATTTTTACTGCCACGTCTGACAGTTCACCATCATCAAACAAAAAATTTAACGGAGATTACCCAAAAATAAAAGAATTCGAAAAATATTTGGTTAATAAATAGACATTACCCAAAAAAATAAATTTTGGTAGAATGAAGGAAGGCTCATGTCTCTAACTCTAAGAGAGTTTTAGTTATATAGCGTCTGACTAGAACCATGGACGAACTATTCTTGAATAAATATCTAGCCATAATCGTCGAAAAAAGAAGATAAATAAACAGTAAATTATGCACTTAGATGCAATATTGCAGCGAAGTCGGAAAGTGGCAGTTCTCATGAGCTTGCATTAAGGTCTTGATCAGCGTGTTTGCTTGTGAGAGAGCATTATTGAAAAATATTTAATTTCAAGTGAAAATAGCAACGTAACAGCTCGATGTGCTTTTGTAAGCTCGCTTGTTGGTAACGTACACTTTCCTCTTTCATTTAATTAATTATCTTCTGCCTGCCTGCGGGTTAATCACGTACGTACCTTCTCGTAGCGTAAGAAAAGGCAAAGAAATCGAAGATATAGATAAATCTTTTTTTGTTTCAATACAAAAACTTAGTATATATAATAATTAGTTACAATATATTGCATTGCATGTTGGGCACCCGTACCGCAGGTTGCATGTGGCAGCTCATGGACATTACAATATTACATTGAAGTCGCTCTTCTATCATATTATGTATAAATAAATATTCTTAATTAATTAACTTGATGTACGTACGTCGTCGAAGCCGGGCCTACCAGCCAGTGGTGGAGCCAGAATTCAAAAGTACTTGTGTCCTCTTCTCAAAATATAAACATAAATATAATTAAAATTAACAATATGAAAATAGTTTATTCATAGATAAGAGAGAAATAACGGACTAATACAATCATTGTTTCACAAGCAACCACGACGCATTTTCAACCTGACAAATCTCTCATCAACCATACCCAACAAGCTTTTGTCGAATGATAGTATCATGAATGGAACCAAACTCATCAGGATAAAATCTCGTAAGACTAAACAACTTCTCCTGGTCAAAAGCAGCAAATGCCGCCGACGAGGGGGTATGGAGTTCACCGGCGTTGACGCCGCGACTGAAGGGAAGGGAGGAGGGATTCGTTCGCTGCGCGGTTGCAGGCAAGGTGCGCGTTTCTGGTTGCGAAAGGAGAAAGGAATTGTCCGATGAGAGAGAAATCGATTAGGAATTTTAATTTGGAATTTTATATATTAGTAATAAATTTATTTTATGTTAGATTGTTAACAAGTAGTGAGTTGTGGCGCAGTGGCAGAACAATCTTACACAAAAGTGAGGTCATGGGTTTGAAAGTTGTGAACATACATCGGGTGTTTTTTTTTTTTTTACCCCTGGAATTCACCTACCAGGTGTTCTCCCTCCGCCTATGCTACCAGCAGCTAGCCAACAGATAGATAGATAGATATATCATTGATTAGGCAGCTAGGTCTCACCAGAAGATCAGTCTTAATTAAACCCAAAATATATATATAATCAGTAACTAATTAAGGCAAGTAAATTAATTAGGTAGGGATAGATGGTGGGGTCGGTAATTAAGATATACAGCCGGCTTGAGTAAACTAGCTAGAGATGGCTAGCTAGCACGGCCATACACACATACATCGATCTCACACACAAACATACATAAACTTAAACATAGTAACATAAATACATATATATTGTTTGTCTGTCAATTGATATTTCGATAAATATAGAAGAAATATTATATGGAATATGGATCGGAGTGGCTAGCTGAAGTGGAGATGGCGCGATGAAATCACATCGATCACATGAGCAAGCTCCTGATAATGGCGGCCTCGGGGCTGTCGGCGTCGATGGTGGAGAGCAGCTCCGACAGCCGGTCGCTCAAATCCTCCACTTCCCTGTGCAGGCTCCTTATGTAGTTGCATGTCTCCTGCAGCACCTTCGACGCCGACACCTGTCACGTAAACACAGTTTTCGGATTTATTAATTACCTTAGTTTCGGTGAATGATGATGATGATGTTCTACTGTGGAGTATAGTTAGTGAACAAATCAAGGTAGCAGGAAGACCGGTCCGGTAGTTAAGGGAAAGGCAAAGACTCAGTCATAAGTCATAACCATTATTTTTCTCTTCACTTCCTTTCCTTTTCTTTACTTTCAGTTTTCCGTTATTATGTCGTCTAGCTTAGCATCCTTCTCCTTTTTGTTGGTTTTTCTTGCGCCTTCCTTTCCGGGATTTGCTTACGAGTCAAAATGGTTGTAGAAAGTTTGACCTTAATTCAAATTATTGGGTTTTACCAAACAAAGACTAAATAACTCGGCATATATATAGTAATAACAACAAATTAAATGCACTCATTTCTAAATCTCGTCCTTGATGTCCGCCGGCCGCCGGGGGAGCTTGCTTCCCCTTCCGCCTCACCAATTTCAAAACCCTCGCTCGATCTACTTTTGTCATTATTATCGCCGTGGCTAGCTTCAGGTTGAAGTCGAACAACAATATTATTACGACTACTTGCTCCTCAGCAGGCGTGAGACATTATTAATCACTTTCTCGTTTACCATGATAACTTATAACATTGTACTAAATATTCTATTCATGTGCTCCCTTATTGCCATGCGCCATGCTAGCTAAGGAAAAGTCAAAGTCGCGTATGCATAAATAAATAAATAAATAAATAAGTATAAATGTACCTTGTCGGAGCGGCGGCTGTGGCGAAGCTCCGGCAAGAGTTGGCGTAACTTGGAGACAAGTTGGATGATCTGATCGTCGCTGATCCTCGGCACACCTGAAGACTGCTGCCTCGACGTTCTCCGGCTCGACATTGTCGTCCTTGTTCCCTAACACCTTACTGCTGCCTCTGTTTAAGTATATGAAAGATGATTAATTTGTACGTTTATTTCGCTACACAACAACCACAACCTTAATTTCCAAGCTTGCAATATCGGGAAGATGTGGCTGGCTAACAAGTAAGTTGGAAAAGGAGATGTAGAGAGAAAAGAGATATGGGGATGGGGAAGAGGGGAAGCTTTCAATGAGGGATTATATGTTAGAGTTTGTTTTGAGATGAAGAGAGGAAGGAGGGTGAGAGAGGGAGAGGAGAGAAGAGATGATGGAATGGAAGTAATGGGGAAGAAAGTGATAAGAGAGTGTTGTGTGTTATAAAGAGAATGGGGAAAGGACCACAAAACACAATATTGAAAGAGAAAGAGGCAAGAATAGATGTAAGGAGAGAGAGAGAGAGAGAGAGAGAGAGAGAGAGAGAGAGAGAGAGAGAGAGAGAGAGAGAGAGAGAGAGAGAGAGAGAGAGTACTATAACATAGACAGTGATGTTGGAGGCGAAGAAGACAGGTGCATCGGAGAAACAAGTGGACTTGCTTGCTATGTCCTCGTTCTACATATTATGCTCTTATGTATATGGTCGAGATAGATAGATTACATGGGATTTTCTTGACTATGTTTTGGGCTAAGTTGAATATTTGTGAGTCAATAATTCAATATATAGCATCATATATCAATACATGGGATTTTTATTATATATTACGTCCAGATATCTTACGATCTAATCTAGGTAAATGTATCCTAATACAATAACGAATATCTTGCGATTTAATCTAGGGAAATTTATCCTGATACAATGACGAAGCTATGTGTAGGCTAATTACCCCTCCTTAGTATTTGCTTTGAGGTTAAAGCTGTGTATCCATGTGTGGAAAAAAACACAACAAATTGGCGAGATAAAGAATATATTAGGTCCAGTTCAATTCTGAAAAGTTATTGTCGTCTCTTGTATTTAGCTCCTACATGGTACATACTCATTATAAGCTCCGACTTTGTCGTCTTACCGTTAATAAAAACATAATATATTATATATGCCGACTTCAAACCAACCATAATTTTCATTGGAGAAGTTGCGTACGAGAACACTAATGATAGGATACGTAGTAGGCCTAATGAATAGGATGTGCATGCACAATATCCAGCACATATTGAGGAAATGGAAAAGCTCCCAAGGAATACCATTTTTACACTACACAAGTTTCTCTCTAGACCTTAAGTTGAGGGGCAAGCAAAGATCATTATAGAAAAAATCAAGGAGTGGGGATGGTTCTGAATAGAAAAAAGGAGTAGGGTACTTTTGTGTGATTGTCCCCAAGCTGGGGTAGATGATCAAGTGGGTTTAAAGAGCTATGTTGGTTATTCAGCTAGCAAGAGTGGGCCTTTTTATGTGTATGTCTTAATACCACAACATGACCATGTGATCATAATTAAGGACACCCACCCATTTAACACTAGCTCTAGCTACTTAGTACGTAAATAAAGTTGTTTCAATTTCATAATTTGACGTTCTTTAGATATTATATATAGGCTAAGGATTTCACTGAATTTCATATAGCACAAATTAGCTAGAGAGCTTGCATGCCACCACACATCCCTTTGTTGGTTATTTGTTCTTCAATTTTCGATCTCTAGTATATTGGCCACATGCATGTCTCGATGAGATGGAGTAGAATTTGACTGTGATTTATATGATTTAACTTACTAGATAGCTTGTTTTTGAATGTACTTGTTTCATGCATGAGCATGAAAGCCTAAGAAGTATTGTTCCTTTCCTTCTTCTTTTTTTAACTCTTTGTACCCACTTCCCTCCACTAACATACACCCAAAATGGTTCATAGTACTATATGTTTCTGGGCATCGTGCTTTGCTCTACACTAGAACTCATAGCCCTCTTGCATGAATATGTACCATTTAGAAAATCTAGCATCATGCTTTGGTTGGTTCGTTTCGATGGAACGAGATACTCTCGAATCTTCGTTAGTATATATATCAGTATTGAACATGTGAACAAACTACCGTTTACTATGCTTTTGTGGTTTTATTTGTACATGACTTAGTTCTTAACGAGCTTGGATAGTAGAGTAGAGAAAAAGTTTGTCCACTTGATCGAATTTGGTTTCGACTTTGTTGAGACTAAGAGATGAATAAAAGTGAAGTCGACCAATCTAATATATGCATGTAGAGTCTTTTAGACAATGAAGTTTAGAAAGTTTCTTTAATGAAATTCAAATGTGAAAAATGTTCTGAACATAAAAAAAACAATCATGAATATTTACTGCCAAAGATAATTTAAATCCATGTTTGGACTCGTGATACTCACGAGATGAATAAAATCTGGACAAAATGAGTCGAGACAGGTCAAACGGGTCAGAGGACATTTTCATCTTAGCTATAGGGATGGGGCAACGAGTCGGGTCGGGAGCGGATAATGCATATATGTTACCCTATCCAAAGTATTTTGGGTTTGACTCATACCCATACCCACATAAGAATTGGGTAAAAAATCAAAATCATGTTCATACCCGCTCGGCATTCGGGTATCCACAGTTATCCATGGATAATAATTTTTCTTTATAACTCAACGAATATGTTAACATTCACAGTATAATCACATTACACAAGAGAAAAATATCCGTAATCATGGATATCCACCCGAATCCAGCCTAATCGGGTAGGGTGAAACACGAACCCGAAGGACATTAGTGGGTACGGGCAAAATTCGAACCCGAATATTGCGGATAATGGGTGGGCATGTGTTTCTCACTATCCAACCCAAACCCGCCCGATTATACACATGCATATGTATTTTGGCTAGAAATAATCATTATTTTTCTCTAACATATTTTATATTTAGCATATAAATATAATATTTTCATGAAATTGTGTAGTTTTAATTAATTTTCTTCATCCTAGTGAATTATTGTCGTGTTTTTCCTTTTACGTAATGTGAGAATACGTATGAATGTTAACATATTGGTTGCAGTTATGAAGATAAATTATTACCCATAGATAACCATGAATACCCAAAAGGCCAAAACCCGAACGATTATGGGCATGGTTTTGATTTTTTACCTGTTTCACATGTAAATATAGGTATGATAATGGATATGCACTATCTGCGCCCGACCCGACCCGAACCATTGCCATCCCTAGTAGTAGGTACCCTTTCTTTCACTGCAGGAGCTCCAAGCTCTTTTACTTCGGCCCGGCGCAATAGCCCTCTCAATTTCCTCAACGCAACCAGGCTACGTACCAGGTCATGCGGGCTTCTTCCAGTTCTGAGTGGGCTAACTTTACTTTTGGATCCAATCTACTAGTCGGCCCATTCCAATGTCCGGCCGGGCTTACACATCTCCTGGGCACGAAATGAAGCCCAAGAAATACTATTATTCTTGGCTGGCTTCTCGGACGGGGTCAGAAAATTTATTTAGTCTCTATGACCATTCCCAGATTTGAGCCCAGTTCAATCCATATATCCAATAGCCAACTTGTATTATTGGGCACAATTAAGTTAATTTGCTTGCTAGACTATTTAATTACTCCAGCTTCCATATAAGTTTCATTTCCTCGTGGACACAAATTTGGTGGAGTGATTGTAGCCTAGAGCTTTAAATAAGAGAAAGAGATCATGATTTCAAAGTTATTTTGACATCAAAATTACTGTGATGTAAATGGAAGGATTAGGTGATTTTTTTTGTTTGTTTGTTTGTTTGTTGAGAGTTAAAAAGAAAAAGGAAATTGATGGTAATTTTTCAATGCAGCTACCATGAAAGAAAGGGAAATGTGAAGATGGTACAAATGGGCCAATGGGGGGGAGAGCTGTCAGTCAACAATTGTAGACTGTATTCAGAGCTGAGATGTATGTGTACATTATGTACTGCAAAAACAGATGGAGAGAAACAGTACACTGCAAAAAGCCCATTACAGAAGGACAGGACAGGGCCCATCTGAAAAAAAAATCTATTCCCTATTGGGTTATTCTTTCCCTTTTACTGCTCCAATCAAATTGTACTAAACTCCAAACCAGAACCCTCACCACCTCCAATGTTTTTCTTCCATGGTTCCAAATTCCAATCATTGTGAAACTAGTAAGTTGATTAAATTTTATTGTAGGTGACGGTTGGTTGGTAAAATATGCTATGCATAATACATGAGTAACTTAGGTTGTTATGCTAACAAATTTATAAGTCATACAATTTTGAAACTCGGTTTGCTTTTTAACTTGCAATTCTATATAGTCATTCAAATCGTTGTTAGCGTTTATATCCTCTATCTCAAACATTTTCATGGAATTATGGATAAAAGTTACAACGATACCACAACCTTTAACATTAACATCGAATCGATCAAAAATATAAATTTTCAGATCATGATTCCTTTAAACGTAACCGAATTGTAGATGTAATTTCCTAAATGATGTGGCATCATCAATTATACAATTAGAAAAGAAGTTGTTACTTATTGTCAGCAACACGAAATATGATAATATCTTCGTTTTAAGAATAAAACATCATCATAATTAAAATCACATAATTTTCTATAAACTTAGCTCGTTGATTTTGTTTGATTTTTAGGTCAAAGTTTAATCCGTTTTCTAACCTCTTTTGTAAATGAACGATTTGAAAGGCAAATGTCAGACCTAATATAATAAAAATTAAAAAATTAAATTAAAAGAGTGGGAAAGGAAACATGGGCTAGCTTTGGTGATTACATCCATCCGTTAATGGGGTCTCCATTCGGAAAGAACAAGTAACCAACTCGGTTTGAGTAAAGGGTTGTTTGGATGACAAGATTTGATTCAACGGTAGAATGCAGCTTACCAAATGACGAAATGTTGCATTCTCTATCTATTAATTTGTACTCTACCAAAATGTGTGGTTGAGAAAATGTAATTAATTTTATTACTTGCTCTAATAAAATGTCGAACATTCCAGTGCTCGTATTTTATATCTTCCATTTCTCTTTGGAAAATACACAGCAGTTGGCTGAGCAAGAAAAAGCTTGGCTGGTCTGGATTCAACTGACAGAAACCCATCATTTCTGCACTGTGTTGTGCTGTGTCTTCCTCCATATCTTCTTTTTTCTATTGCTTTCGATATCAAACAGCCATTCATCTTTTGTTTCCTGTGTGGTAGGACATCAGTTATCTTTCTCAGTAAAGGAATCACATTCCCTTTCTCTCTGTGCTTCTTTTTCCCAGCAAAATCCCAGCAACCAGCAGAAAAAGAGAAACGGCAACTTATTACCAATATTTTATAAGGTGGGGAAGAAGAAAAAGGAAAGAAAGGTGTCATGATAATAATGAAGGGCACTATGCACTCACTTATGTGGAAAGACAAGCATGGATCTTTATGAAAAAAAGAAGTGATCATCTTCCCATTCCATGCTCTGCTTTCTGTGGCTTCGATGCAATAATAATGCATACCACCACAACACTGTTTTCCTGGAAGCTTGCTCTACTTTTCCACTGCCTTATCATTCATGTGAAGGGCCCTTCGAAAAGGCCCACAAGTAAGCAATCAAGCAAACCTTTCTTTCTCGCTATCTTCATGCTATTGAAAAAACATGCTATGGAGCTTCAAACGCAATTCTAGAAAGGAAGGCAAAAGAGAAATGGAAGTCTCTTTATGCACTGATTCGACAAACTTTCGAGGGGTCTGATTGCGTTTCACCTTTCCAAAATGAAGATTTAATTGATGATAGTATAGTATGTGTTGCTATGACTTGAAGTTGGATTATGTGTCGCAGATTGAAAGTTACGGAGTCTTGCTGACATATATTGATGAAATTGAAGCAAGGCCAAATATTTCAACTCAATTTACATGAAGTGGAAGGGCTTGGAAGACAATTGAGTCGATCTACCCAATATGCTAATCAGTTCACGAAATGAGGGACAAATGATACTTTGATCAAATTTGCTCAATGAAGAACCTATGTCTCAATCAAACGCAACATTTATGACTGCCACTTTTATTTTGTGTTTTGAAAAACTAATAACAAAGTTAGACAATCCGCTTGAATAGTAGAGAATGGTTAAAACCCCAGTTTCGAACCAACCGTGCTATTTGTACTCGTATGTCGTTTTTATTATGTTTTTATGGATTTTGGATACTATTTGACTGTTTTTAATAGGAAGTATTAGTTTGGGTAGTTACACGAGATATGTCAGACTATATCATCTATAGTTAGTGTCGTTAGTGGGACTTTTCTCATCATGCATTGTCAATTATGATATCATAAGATTAGGAAATTTTCCTTACAGAATAAGGATTACTGAGATTGACGCATTATTCTAATGTTCCTTTCTTACACAATACATTAGGCAGTAGAAAATTATGATATTACATATTGATATTACAAACACTTGACTACCCCATTGGTAGAAAACAGGGTTACCATTACATTAGTGATCTTTCTCTCAGAAAAGTATCCACCTTCCCCAATATCTACATTCTCATCACCATCCATCCATCATCATCCCAAAGGGGAAAATGGAAACTTTTCTTCTTCCAGGTTAAACGGGAAACACAAACCCTAACACATACATAATAAACAACAACAATGAGGTTTCTTGGTCGCCTGCCTCCATTTCCAGTCTCAAATGTGATGGTGCTGTAACTGCAGCAGTCTCGAATAAGCCCCTTCAGGCCTACTAACCAACTCACCATGGCTCCCTTGCTCCACGATCCTCCCATCCTGCACCACCCCGATACAATCCACCCCTCGAATCGTCGACAGCCGATGCGCCACCAGCACCGTCGTCCTCCCCCTCATCAGCCTCTCCAGGGCTTCCTGCAGCACGCATTCCGACTCTGCATCGAGAGCGCTCGTCGCCTCGTCGAGCAACAAGATTGCCGGGTTCTTCAACACGGCTCTGGCAATGGCTATCCTCTGCTTCTGCCCACCGGAAAGCTGCACCCCTCTCTCCCCGACAGGCGTCCTGTACCCGTCGGGCAGCCCGCTCACGAACCCGTGGACGTTTGCAGCACGAGCTGCTTCGATCACCTCAGCTTCCGTCGCGCCTTCTTTGCCGTAGGCAATGTTTTCGAAGATGCTTGTAGCAAATAATGCAGGCTCTTGTTGGACCAGACCGATTTTCTGCCTCAACGATTTCAGGTTCAACCGGCGGATATCTTTCCCGTCGATCATTACTTTGCCAGCAGACGGGTCGTAGAACCGCTCGATCAAGGCGATCACCGAGCTCTTCCCACACCCGCTGGCTCCAACTAAAGCCTGGCTCTGGCCAGCTCGAATTCTCAAGCTAAAGTCCGTGAACACGGCCACATCCGGTCTGGTCGGGTACGAGAAGTCAACGTGTCGCAGCTCGATTTCTCCGCGGACCGATTCGACCACCTCGGCCTCAGAATCGTCCGGGTCGATGCGGGTGGAGCGGTCGAGGATTGAGAACACCGAACCGACTGCTTCCCCGCCTCGGATGATCTCTGGAGCCAGGCTGACTGTTTCGGCGACTGAGTTGGCCGTCACGACCAGTACAACGAAGACCTTGATCACCTTGGAGAAGGTGGAGACTCCGCGGCTGACGAGATGCGATCCATACCAGAGAATGAGAGCTTCGGATGCGTAGAGGGCGAGCTGCGAAAGGCCGAACAAGAGGCCGGAGATCTGGCTTCTCTTTAAGCTGTGTAGTTGTGGGATGCGGAGTTCATGGCAGAATAAAGACAGGATCTTGTCTTGAGCGTTGAAAGCAGCGACGGTTCTAATGTTGCTCACGCCTTCACCGGCGATCATGCTCGTCTTTGCATGGGCCTTTGCTGTGTCACCTGCGAATCCTTTAAGGGAGAGTTGCTGCACAAAAATTATTGAATTAATGAATCAGAATCAATGCAAGAACTTGTTGATTAACCTTGAGATATCAATATCAAACAGCTTAAGATCATGCCCCGGCAATAGGACAGTGTTAGCCTGGGCTGTCAGCATGGTAACAAAATTCAACTATGAAATGTATTGAGATTCGATGATTTCAGGTCTTTGTCCTTTGTGAGTGAAAGGGAAAACTGTTTTTTAAGGGCCAACTTGAAAGGGGAGGGTACTGTTCCACCTTGAATGTGCTCCAGAGACCCACTTTCACTTTGGTGAACAGTGTTGAGGGAAAGCAACAGAGTAAAACGATTTTCATGCAAAAGACAAAGAACTGTCACTACCAGCCAGACTTCTCACTGCATTCACCCTTTTTTCCAAAACCAACCACCAGAGTCTGAAACCTCCAGACGACACAACCCCACAACCCAAAACGACAGCACTGCGCGGAAGCGAGGAAATGGTGGTCACACTGCCTATGAACACTGTTAGACTGTTATTACCAACCCACCACCACCCAACTCCTGACACCCCTCCGTAGGAAAAAAAAATTGAGAATTTAAAATACTAGTATAATGAAGAAGGTATAGCAGAAAGACAATAATGTGATTCACGGGAGTAACAGTAGTAGAAGCTAGTTTAGCCAAAGCATCCGTTGGAATACTCGCTTGGTAGTCTGTCCTATTCTCAGTAGTAGCAGAGCAGAGTATTTAACCCGACCCCAGAAGCAGAGTATTTAAAAAATACCGCAGTTTGTTGCAAATACTAAAGCCAGAGAGCTAAAAGCAAAACGAAAAGGAAAAACAGAGTTCATGTGACTTGTACAGCGTCGGTGGTTGCTTAATAAATGAAGGAAAGTTGAGGAAATGGAGGGGTGAAAAGAAGGTCCAATGAGAGAATCAAGACATGTTTATATTTTTTGGACCGAGAGGAGAAATCCTGGCGTATGGGGGAAAAGGGTAAACAGTCTTATAATAAAGTGAAAATATGCCATAGCAGCCTCGAGATGATGGAGGCCAGAAACTAAGTTGGCATGGGAAATTTGGATGGGGGCAGGCAATGGAATCCTCGACTATTCTAATGTTTAACTAGTCCATTGATGAGCTCGATGATAATCACACATTCATTGCAGCTGTAAAGTATTAACTATTAAGCATATGGCTTTGGTAGAAAACATCTTCCGCTAGAGTCCTTTAAGGTGTTCTGATCTTTCGGGATTAAAAGGTAAACAAGAGTAGGGAGAGGCACGTGCTAGGCGAAGGACCCAGCTAGCTTTCGTCGTTTTTTTTATTTTTTGGTTGAAATATGCAAAGAGCCAAAGACCTGAGTCCTAACAATGTTATGGCAAAAAACATTAAATATATGCTTCGGAGTTTGGGCTCTTTCTTCACTATTTTGCTCCCTAGTTTTGTTCACACTAAAGATTTCAGTGCTTTCAATTTATGTATGGGGTAGTGTCACATCATATCTGGACCAAGTACAAACCAACCCAACCTAACAGAATCACCAAAAACAGGTAAAAAGAATAGCAAATGAAACAGTGATTTTAATGTTTGTAACTGAGAGAGCAGCATACCTGGGCGAAGTTGGCGAGGACCAGGAGAGGGAAGGTTCCGAGAATGAGAAGTGAGACTCTCCATTCAATAATGAAAGCAACTATGAAGGATGTGAGAAGAGAGGTCATGTTCTGGAGTATCACGGATATCCTCTCAGCTATTGCAGACTTCACATCTGCTGCATCTGTTGCTAGTTTCGCTGCAACCAGGCTCGAGTTGTGTTCTTCCTCGTCGAACCATCCGACTTCATTCCTCAGAATTGCTGAATTAAACATGTGAAAAGCAGAATGAACCAACGCCTATTGGTAGAACAGATCTATGTGAACAGGCTTTAAAATAATATGAAAAACAAGAATAGCTAGTTTTCTTTACCTGCAAGCATCATTCTCCTAACTCTGGTAGTCAAGTTCTCTCCCATTATGCTGAAGAAGTAGTGCTGAATCAAGTAAGCGACCACGGCATAGAGTCCAGCACCAATGTAGATGAACACATATTCCTTGGTCTTCCTCTCCATTGATTGAGGATTAGTGTAGTAGAACACCTCAATCATGTTGCTCATGACTATGGCGAATGTTGGCCCAATGAAACCTGAAAGCACAGACCCCACAGCTCCCATTACTGAATAAGGCCACTCGGGTGCATTCAGATAGAGCAACCTAAAGAAGTATCCTTTTGGTGCTGGATTTTTCCGATCTGTTTCAGCATTGGAGACCATCTCGATGCGGCCATCTGCTCCAGTACTGTAGGAATAGCTCAAGTTGCGAAGGCTTCCAGAACGGAGGCTTAGAGACTTGGTTGAGAGCGAGTGGCTGAGGCGTGTTGAGCGTGTTCTTCGTGTTGATGGGTTAGCAAAATCTCTGTTTCTCACCATTTCTTGGAATCTGATCAATGTGGCGTAGGCACCTGCTTTAGCAATCAGTTCTTCATGGGTTCCTGTTTCTACAACTAGCCCTTGTTGAATGACTGCAATGGTATCGACGTTTCTGATGGTGGACAGTCGATGAGCAACTACGACCGTTGTCCTTCCTACCATGAGTCGATCCAATGCTTCTTGAACAATGCTCTCAGATCCAGCATCTAGTGCACTTGTTGCTTCATCTAGGAGAAGAATTTTTGGGTTCTTCAGCATAGCTCTTGCTATTGCTATCCTCTGTTTCTGACCACCAGAAAGCTGAACTCCTCGCTCTCCCACCTGATCATATTACCACATTTAGCAACTTGTTCATGAGCAAAAAATTCAAATTGGAATTCTAAGATAATCACTCATATAGACCAACCTGCGTATTATATCCATTGGGAAGCAGCGTGATGAAGCTATGAGCATTTGCAGCGGAGGCAGCAGCCTCTACTTCATCCATTGTTGCATCTGGCTTCCCGTAGAGAATATTCTCAAGTATGGTGGTGGCAAAGAGAGCTGGTTCCTGGTTCACCAATCCGATTTGATCACGTAACCACTTGAGTTGCAGACTCTTTATGTCCACATTATCCAACAAAACCTGCCCTGCTCACCAAGCAAACAAGAAATATCAGCTTATCCATCAAATTTTGACGATTAAGATCGCTTATGTACTATGAGTTGATTTGGAGTGGTGAAATTACCCTGACTAGGATCATAAAACCTCTCTATCAGGGAAATAACAGTGCTTTTCCCTGACCCACTGCCACCTACAACAGCAACAGTCTTGCCAGCAGGGAAGAAGATTGAGAAATCTCTGAAGATGATAACATCTGGCCTAGATGGATAGCTGAAAGTCACACCCTTGAACTCGATATTCCCAGTAACCTCATCCAAGCATTTCCCATCCAATGCGTCCTGGACTATGGAAGGCTTTTGGTTGATTATCTCCATCAACTTGTATCCAGCTGATTTACCTTTGCTGAAGGCACCAAGGTTCGAAAACGATTGCCCCAAACTCCTGTAACAAACCACAAATTATGCCATTAGAAGAAAAAATAATTGAACTCAATTGTGTCCAGCACTAAAGATTTGAGGCATTGTGCTTACATTCCACCCACAATTGCAGAGAAAATTGCAGTGAAGGCCTTTCCTCCATCAGTCTGACCGTTCCTGATGAAAACACCAGCATACCAGAAAACAAGGGCCCATGACATGCAAGCTATGCCATATGTGCATCCAAGCCCCAACCCTTTGGCCATTCCAGCCTTGTAACCAAGCTTCAAGGTGTTCTGTATCGCATCTGAGTAGGAATTCAAGGCTTTGCTCTCCCCAACATACGAGTAAACTGTTCGAACCTGTGCAATGGCCTGAAACCAACGAACATTCCATTCAAATTTCAGTTCAATTCCCTGCTGTCAACAAACTTACAATTGAGAAAAAACTGAAAGCACTAAAACTCGAGCAGAGTGGGGGCAAAAAAACAACTACAGGACGCCACCAAAAGAAGGGAAAAGGCCAATGCAGGTGCCCTGAGCTTTCATTTGACACACACGGGAAAGAGCCAGCTGAAAAAGGGCAACAACCAGCACTCTATCTCTGCTTGTCATGCTCAGAGTCAGCGTAAACCCAGAGAAGAAACCAAAAATCATGATTATAAACAGACAGCTGTGTGCATTTTTGTCATTAACCCAAAAAGATAAATGAATCCAGACAAGTTTCCAAACAGATAAGAGTGCTCCACACAGGAGAAAAAAGAAGGTAAAATCACCATCAATAAAAAAAAAAAAAAACAGCCATCACCATCATTGTCTTCATCATCATGATTAAAATTATACCATTCTCAAACACAATAAAACCTCACCTGTTCTGCAATTATGCCCGCCTGAGAATACGACTCCCGGCTCTTGGAGGTAAGTCCGGTGAGAGTGTAGGCATAGAGCCCGCCGGCGAATGCTATTCCGGGGATCACCGCCACACTGAGCAGCGCTAGCCTCCATGCTGACAGGAAACCAACCACCAGCCCCGCTAGGAACGTCGACAGGTAATGTATAAAATTGCCCACCTATCCAAAATTCCCAAAAGAAGAACTCAATCAGCGACGGACCCTAAAAGTAACAACCCGCCAAAGAAAAGCACAAAACGCTCGCGGCGGTGCATGGTGTGTCGAATTTTGCTAACCTAAGCCGCCAGAAATAGATCTCCGATTGGAAGTTTGGAACCCCTCTCATTAATGGAAGAAGATATACAAAAAGAATTAGCCTATCCATCAATCACGAATCATCCGAGTCGTTTTCTTTCCATTTCTTTTTTCAAAAATACCCTCTGGTCTATTCCGACTCGGATAAACAAGCGCTAGATTTCGCCAACCACCAGTACTAGTAGTACAAATGGTTGATAAGGAAAAGAAAGGGGGAAGTGAATTGAAATGCAGGAAATGGAGTAACGAAGCGATGGCGACAGATGGAAAGAGAAATAAAAGAGCAGTGAAATATAAATGAGGTGGGAAGGGATCTGAGAGGGGAAGTGAACCCATTAGTTTAATCCATTAATAATAAGAAAGAAGAAGAAGAAGAAGAAGAGGATCAAAGAAGAAGAACCTTCTCACTAATGGCGTCTTGGACTAGGAGAGTGTCCGTTGAGACACTGAACACTATATCCCCAGTCCTCGCATCCGTGTCGAAGAACCCCACGTCTTGCTTCAGCACCGCTTCCAAATACTTCTTCCTCAGGCTGCTCACTTGCCTCTCCCCACTGTACATCCAGCAACCAATCTCTGCAACAACAACAAAAAATCAAAATCAATGAATTAACGGCTGCTGAAATTGACATTGAAGAAGAAGAAGAAGGAAAGCAAAAGCAAAAGCACACGTGAATTGAGTTGAGCTGCTCTCAACCATGGTCCAGTCCCAATTGGACCATGGTTCAGTGAGTTGCGCAAGCAACGTGACAAAAGGGCAAAACCGAAACGGGAACTACATTTTTCTTTTTCTTAACATTTTTTGTTTTTTGTTTTGTTTATTTACCTGCGTAGGATGATACGCAAACAATGAGGCCGAGATAGACGAAGTAGAGAGCGTACTGCGATTCCATAAAAAAACAAACACCATTAGTACAGAGGAGAAGGACAGAGATCTGAGATCTAATCAAACAGAAAGAGCAACGTTTCTGAACCTTGGAGACTTCGTGGATCATGGTGGGCAAATCGGACTGGTTCTTGCCGAAGCCGTTAACCATTTCGCCGAACAAGAGGAAGAAGACGGGCATGGAGGAGCCGTGGATGATGGCTCCGATGCTGCCGCAGGCCATTAGCATCCAATCGTACTTATCAGCGAAGCAGAACAACTTGTGGAACGGGAGGGTCTGGTCTTTCCTCTTCTCTGCCTCCGGCAATGGCTTGGTGGCCTCCCTGCTGCTTCCCTCCGCCATTGGAAGAATGAGGAGGAAACAGGGAATGGGTGATAGAGTTTGGAAAGATTCGCAGTGGAGAGAGTGTGTTTAGTTCGGGGGGGAAGTGAGGGATGGATTTATTGACATTGAAGAGAGAGAGAGAGAGAGATCTGAAGTAGGTGCTTGAGAGTGAGTTGGACCAGTGGTCAAAGAATGAAGACGAAGAAGAAGGTGGAGGGAGGCGAGTAAGGGGAAAGGGAGGGAGAAAATGAGAGTTCTGTGAAGAGAGAGAGAGAGAGAGAGAGAGAGATGTGAGAAAGAAGGTTTTATAATGGGGCGAAAAGGGTGGGACTCTTTTTGATTGACACGCTGGAAGCGGGTCCCCCGGGTATACATTTTCAGGTTCAACCGCGGTTAGGAGTGGAAATTTTCCGATTTCGTCAATGATCGAATCAAATCGAAAATGAACCGTGTCGAAAGTAAAAGGAAAGGAGGACTAAAGTCGACCAAACATTCATTTAATCGAATTCAGTCAAATATAAATTTTAATTCGGTCAATTGTTTCCATTCATAGTTAGAGTATTTATGGAATTGTAAGATAATTCGATTCCATTCAAACATCGCTTCGAACTGATTTGATTCGGTGTGTATCAAATTCTTGCATACTCTTAGCCGCTTTTACAAAATCAGCATAACATGGTAATCCATATATTCTAAAATTTACCTATTTTATGACCTATAAAACGCTATTTGTTTTTCCAGGGTGTATGAAATACTCACTTATACACAAAACTAAAAATTAGGGTGATATTAGGTTATCCTGTTAGTGGATGACCACTAAACTAACCGAAAACCGGTGTTTAGCGGTGTGGTTATCGGTAGGATGAAATTACTCTGGTGTAATCGATAATCAAATAGTATGTTAACAGTTAACCAACAACTAATCGAGTATAAATAACTATGCTTCTCTCTCCAATAATGACCACTTCTCTCCCAAACAAACTCTCAAACTTCGAATAAACAATCCCCTTCATGCCGCAACCATTTGCGTCTTTCCCCCCACCGTGAATCCTAAAATTGAAAGGGGTGAAGAGCACAGTCGATTCTTCAATTGAAACGTAGGCATTAAGGTTAGACTACTGAAAAGATCTTAAAGGCTCTATTGGAGGAAATATTGCAAAGAGCGCACCACATTAACCGATCAATGGCTTCCCTCACTAGGTTTACACTCATCATTCCTCTCATTCATCTCTTCGCTTTCTTCTCTCATTGCCAGCACGAGCGACAATCAAATCTCAAATCCCTAATTCTACTGCTCTTCAAAGACCTCGCCATGAAAAAAATCCTTACCTACCTACACATTGGAACCCCTCTCGCTACTAGAACCTCCATCATTTACTTTGCCACGCAAATCCCTTAGCTCCACGGCCACACCAAAGTCGATTCCTCCACCACTTAGAGCCTCGCTAAGTGTGGATCTACCACGTTTTTTGTCACCGATTTTCCTTCTCATTCATATACATCAATGGTTACTGACTTTGTAATTTGGCCTCGTTGTCATCCATTAGATTGAGTTTAACCAGAAAATTCTAAACAAATTGGATGTCCATCTCTGAAAAAGTTGTGGGCGCATACCCAAAATCGTGGTAATCTTCTGCATTTGTGCATCGGAGGTGGTAATGCTAGAGTAAAGGGTTCTGTTTCAGCCATGAAACAAGTAGAACGCCGGATCTGTGAAAGGGCGGGGATGTCCCCCGGTATCTACACTCCGACGACCAACATTAGTATAGTGATAGGAAATAGAGAGAGTTTATGTAGAGAGAGAGATATTGTAGAGAGATAAACTATATGTCCAAATGAGTAGAAGAGAAGGAGCCCCTTACTTGAAGTGCATAGTGGTCTATTTATAGGCAAAAGCTTGTCTTCTCCTTGTGGGCTTTAGTTGGATCATGAAGGTATTTCGTGGGCTTGGGCCCATATGTAGTTGATTGATTGCAATTGCACTTTGGCTGAGTTAAGACATGCTTAAGGACCCAACAATTGTCCCCCAGTTAGGTATACAGTAGGGTACTGGATGCCTAACTAGAAGTCTTCGTCTTGTAAACTTTCTTACAAACTTAGTGTTGAACGCTTGATGTATAAGTGACATCTTGTCTCCCGGTTTAGCTAACTCATGTCCCCCAACACCATGTTCGTTGAACAATTTTGAAACAATAAATACGACGTCTTAAAAAGTTACAGCATTTTAGGCCCCTAATTGAAGACTTGCTTGCCTTACACAAGAACTTATTTCACTCTTGATGTCTAACAAGGTTATGTCGCCTTAGGCGCCTAATTGGAGATTTTTTTGCTTTAGACAAATTTTTGAAGATGCATGGTATTCCTCCAATTGTCCCCCAGTTAGGCGTCTAGTGGTATACTGGACGACTAACTAAAAGTCTTCCAACCCGCCAAAATTTTCATAAGGTCCCTTAGTATTTCATTTCTCAATGCATGCCCCCATTATCATATCAATTACTCGGAAAAAAAACACAAATATACTAAGCAATGCAGTAAGATTGGACTCAGACAATAACTTGGAATGTAACTTGAGTGGTGATAGGAAACACTTAGCTTATCCCTTGGGACGTCTCTGTGGAGGTTAGAATTGGAGCATCTTGACAATAAGCTATAGGCGCCTCAATTCGCCAGTTATTTTGCCTTAGGCGCCAAAAATACCTTCCCCTCTAAGTGAGCCATTGGAGGCTTGTGCTCATATAGATCAGGTGGATTTTAATTCCACTTTCGGGTTGATCTGACAATGCTAGCACTCATTTCATAAAATCATATACTAGTCTAAATCGAAACAAAAAAGAAATAATTCATAGGCGCATAAGTATAATGAGCTTATGTGATGTTCCAATGGCTATGAAATTGTTTATGAAATGCGCCTTTCCCCTTGTGGCCTTTCCACATGCGCTAATGGGACACATTCCCAGCTGCAAGGGAGACGAGCGATGAGCGCCTGAATTAAAATAATGGTAGCAAAATTTGAACCAACAACATATCATTCAGATTAATAAAATTTAGAGCCGTGCAACCCCACTTGGCAATTGCGCGGTTCTATGCGGCATACATATCTACAAGTGGTTTAACACCTACAATACCACAAACACCACGTATTCATAGGGGTCTCAGTGTATTATCGGTGCAAATTTTGGGCACCCTGCACGAGCTTATGAGCCTCACGCAAGCTTAAAAATCAAACAAGCTTTATCTGCTTCCTAGAATAGGAATCTCATTAAACAATCCTTGCATTTTTAATGATTTTGTCCACTTAGTGCCCAATCACTGTCCAACACAAATCATGCGCCTTATTTGAGCTTACATGTTGGGCGCTCATATACTAAACGCTCTAATAGAAGTGTTCCCATAAGTGATTATTCTCACTTGTAGACGTTTTCAAGCAAATCACAGGCGCTTGGTTTGTGTGCTTTATGATATATATACTTAGTTATTTCGACCAAGGCTTTCTAGCTTTGTAGGTATTATAGGCGCTCTAACTTCATGGGCGCCTGGAGTATGTTTAACCATGAGAACTATATTCAGGCGCGTATAGTATTTTCTACCATATGCGCTATATTTAGACAAAAAGAGTACTTCTAATCACGGGCGCTAAATTTAGGTGTGGAGAATATTTATAACCGAAGCGCCAAATTTGGGCGCATAGAGTATTTCAAATCACAGGCGCTAAATTTGGGCGCGGAGAGCATTTCCAACCACGGGCGCTAAATTTGGGCGCGGAGAGTATTTTTAACCCAAGTATTATATTTGGGCGCATAGAGTATTGCAAATCACAGGCGCTGAATTTGGGCGCGGAGAGCATTTCCAACCACGGGCGCTAAATTTGGGCGCTGAGAGTATTTCTAACCAAAGTATTATATTTGGGCGCATAGAGTATTGCAAATCACAGGCGCTGAATTTGGGCGTGGAGAGCATTTTCAACCACGGGCGCTAAATTTGAGTGCAGAGAGTATTTCAAACCAAAAGCACTATATCTTAGCGTAGAGAGTATTTCGAAACAAAAGCAATATTCTATGGAGATAAAAATCAAATTTTACGCCGGATCTGTGAAAGGGCGGGGATGTCCCCCGGTATCTACACTCCGACGACCAACATTAATATAGTGCTAGGAAATAGAGAGAGTTTATGTAGAGAGAGATATTGTAGAGAGATAAACTATATGTCCAAATGAGTAGAAGAGAAGGAGCCCCTTACTTGAAGTGCATAGTGGTCTATTTATAGGCAAAAGCTTGTCTTCTCCTTGTGGGCTTTAGTTGGATCATGAAGGTATTTCGTGGGCTTGGGCCCATATGTAGTTGATGGATTGCAATTGCACTTTGGCTGAGTTAAGACATGCTTAAGGGCCCAACAGGTTCCAATCCTCGGGATTTGAAAAAAAATAACAGATAATTTGACAAAAAAAATTGGATTAACCGTTACAAGACATTGCTGGTTGGTTAGACACTTTATCGAAGAATTAACCTATAACCAATTATTGATTAACCAAATAATATAAACAACGAGGTTAGCAATAAATACAAATGGTTTAACGGTTAACCGTTAATCGAATAAACAGTTACAATTATAACCAAACCGAATAACATGCCCACTAAAAATATAATTCTCTTGTGAGCAAGGCTTTATATGACTTGTTATAGTTGTAGTACCATTGTTGATTTCCAATATCTATATCCTAAATAATTATGTTTATTTCTCTTAAATCTAAGTTAATTTGGAGGAGAATGTGGTTTATGTTCTCTATGTGGTGGCCTGCTTCATTAGTTGGTGTAGTTGCTGTCTTTGGTTTCTGTGACCTTCCTGTAAAATGGGGTTTGCTTACTTAAAGTTTGTTGTTTAGTCCTTAAATACTTTTATTATTGAACATTCCAGATCCCACAAGTTGTGTTAAGTATTTCCCCAAGTTGTGTTAAGTATTTCCCCCGGAAAAAAATTCTCTAATTATAAATCTATCTTTATCTTTTAGTTGTCTACTCTTT